GTTTCTGAAGGCAAGCCTGGGAATATTCTCAAAGGGAATAGGGGAGGTCCCTGAGTCCTACTCATCCCATGGCAGGGCCCCCAGGATGACAGCAAATGCTCAGAAAGACTTTATGGTGTCTCCAGGGAGGGCTCGTTCTTTGCCTACCCCACAAAAGAGAGAGACATCTGTCATCAAGGTCCTAGTTTAGGACCACAGAGTACCATGAGGGTTGACAACTAGAGAAGTCTTTCCTGTTTACTTGAGAACAATGTAAGCCTCTTTGGTTTTGGTGTGACTCTCAGAAGTAGGCCTATTGATGGCTAAGATGAATTTTCCCACTAAATTGTGGAGAAGTGGGTTGAGACAATTCATTCATTCAAGTAACCGTTAAAAGTTTTCAGACCTAGAGTCAGAGCAGTAATTGCCTGATGTTAGTGAATCAGAACCAACTTTCATTTATTTCCTATTAAAGAGCAGAGAACAAAAGCCCAGAACCTCTACAGTGTTCATTAACCTTTCAGCAGACCTGTGGGCTCCGGCCCCTAAGGTCCTTCTGGGTTCCTGCTCCCTAAGGGAATTTCAACAATGCCTTCAACCTCGCCTGCTACACAGAATTGCTGGAAGATTAAATGGCAAACCATGCCTCACATGTGTGTAACATTCCAAAAATGGACTGATTCCCATTCTGTCAGCACACTATCCAAGAAGTAGTACTTATTTCTCAGAATGGTTAATGCCAGAGTCTATCCAAGGGTCAGTTTCAGACACATATGTTAAGAACTAAACATGCTTATCGTGTAAAGAAGGAAGTTATCAGTATATTTGGGGCCTCGGTTATCTTACTGAAGTTTTCACTGATGGTCTTCTCCTTGTCTACTTCATTGTTCTGCTTGGCAAGTTAGAACAGGTATAACTTAATGAAAAGAATAAACGCTACATGTATTTCAAAATGCCTTAGAAGCTGACGGTAAGAAACTCTCTCCACCTTCTAGTGTTATTTCCTGCTAACAGGACAGGACAGGCTGTAGGTAAATCTGTAAATCCCGTGGTTACTCACAGGCACTCCCGCAGAGTGCCACCACAATATGGCTAATGCAGGAGAAGAATCTAAGTTATGTTATTCAAATATAACAATGTTTTCAAAGGTAGGCATTCTCAATCAGATGTGGATTCAATGTAGAATGTAGTTTGACAGCACTTGTATTTGGATTCTCTTATCAGAAGAAGGATGTTGACAGGCAGGGAGAAATTTATTGTAGGAATACCTGCTGTGAAATTTTCTTATCTATTATAAAATTTACAGTATAACCTTCCATGAACGGATTATCCTACGAGCCTTCTAATTTGCAGTGGCACTGATATATTTATTTAATTTGTTGAATAAGTGTTTAGACTTAAATATTAAATAAATACGTTAAAAATTTTCAGATCTAGAGTTACAACAGTAACTGCCTGATGGCAGAGAACAAAAGCCCAGAACCTCTACAGTGTTCATTAACCTTTCAGCAGAGCTGGAGCTCCAGCCCTAAGGTCCTTCTGGGTTCCTGCTCCCTACGGGAATTTCAACAATGCCTTCAACCTAGCCTGCTACCCAGAATTGCTGGAGGTAAATAAATAAAGATTAAATGTTAAATATGTTTGTTTAGAAACAGAATTAAGATCTTTTACCATGGGGGGGAGGGGCAAGATGGCGGAAGAGCAGGGTCCCCAAATCACCTGTCCCCACCAAATTACCTAGATAACCTTCAAACCATCCTGAAAATTTACGAATTCGGCCTGAGATGTAAAGAGAGACCAGCTGGAATGCTACAGTGAGAAAAGTCCGCGCTTCTATCAAGGTAGGAAGACGGGGAAAAAGAAATAAAGAAACAAAAGGCCTCCGAGGGGGAGGGGCCCCGCGAGGAGCCGGGCTGAGGCCGGGGCGAGTGTCCCCAGGACAGGAGAGCCCCGTCCCGGAGGAGCAGGAGCTGCACCAACCTTCCCGGGCGGCGGAAAGGGGCTCGCAGGGAGTTGGAGCAGGACCCAGGAGAGCGGGGATGCCCTCGGGCTCCCGGGGACACTAACAGACACCTGCGAGCGCAGGAGAGTGCTCCGAGCTCCCTAAGGGCTGCAGCACGCACCGGAGCAGCTCGGAGGGGCTCGGGAGCGGCTCCAGGGAGGGAGCTGCGGGGCGGGAGCGCAAATCCAACAACACAGGCCCCGGAGCACAGGGCGCCGGGACACAGCCCAGGATCCGGCCTCCCCCCGGGACAGGCAGAGGCCGGGAGGGCCCAGGACAGCAAGGACGCTCCTGCCCCGAGCTGAGCAGATCAGCGGCCCCGCCCCGGAGCCTCCAGGCCCTGCGGACGGAGAGCCGAGAGCCCCGAGCCCCGTAGTTCCTGCGGAGGCTGAATCCAGGCTTCCAGAGTTGCCATAGCAACTGCAACTGATCCTCCTGAGACCTCACGGGGTAAACAACCCCCGCTGAGCCCTGCAGCAGGCAGGGGCAGAGCAGCTCCCCCAAGTGCTAACACCTGAGAATCAGCGCAACAGGCCCCTCCCCCAGAAGACCAGCTAGAGGGACCAGTGATACTCCCCCGTGTTCCAATACAACTTGTTTTTGGCCACTCTGCACTGAGCAAAATGACTAGAAGGAAAACCTCACTTCAAAAGAAAGAATCAGAAACAGCCCTCTCTCCCACAGAGTTACAAAATCTGGATTACACTTCAATGTCAGAAAGCCAATTCAGAAGCACTATTCTACAGCTACTGGTGGCTCTAGAAAAAAGCATTAAGGCCTCACGAGACTTCATGACTGCAGAATTTAGATCCAATCAGGCAGAAATTAAAAATCAATTGAATGAGATGCAATCCAAACTAGAAGTCCTAACGACGAGGGTTAACGAGGTGGAAGAACGAGTGAGTGACATAGAAGACAAGTTAATGGCAAAGAGGGAAACTGAGGAAAAAAGAGATAAACAATTAAAGAACCATGAAGACAGATTAAGGCAAATAAATGACACTCTAAGGAAGAAAAACCTACGTTTAATTGGGGTTCCCGAGGGCGCCGAAAGGGACAGAGGGCCAGAATATGTATTTGAACAAATCCTAGCTGAAAACTTTCCCAATCTGGGAAGGGAAACAGGCATTCGGATCCAGGAAATAGAGAGATCCCCCCCGAAAATCAATAAAAACCGTTCAACACCTCGACATCTAATAGTGAAGCTTGCAAATTCCAAAGATAAAGAGAAGATCCTTAAAGCAGCAAGAGACAAGAAGTCCCTGACTTTCATGGGGAGGAATATTAGGGTAACAGCAGACCTCTCCACAGAGACCTGGCAGGCCAGAAAGGGCTGGCAGGATATATTCAGGGTCCTAAATGAGAAGAACATGCAACCAAGAATACTTTATCCAGCAAGGCTCTCATTCAAAATGGAAGGAGAGATAAAGAGCTTCCAAGACAGGCAGGAACTGAAAGAATATGTGACCTCCAAACCAGCTCTGCAAGAAATTTTAAGGGGGACTCTTAAAACTCCCCTTTAAGAAGAAGTTCAAGTAACTCTGAACGTGAATGGGCTTAATGACCCCATCAAAAGGCGCAGAGTTTCAGACTGGATAAAAAAACAGGACCCATCTATTTGCTGTCTACAAGAGACTCATTTTAGACAGAAGGACACCTACAACCTGAAAATAAAAGGTTGGAGAACCATTTACCATTCAAATGGTTCTCAAAATATACCCTAAAAACTACAGAACACTTCTGAAAGAAATTGAGGAAGACACAAAGAGTTGGAAAAATATTCCATGCTCATGGATTGGCAGAATTAATATTGTGAAAATGTCAATGTTACCCAGGGCAATTTACACGTATAATGCAATCCCTATCAAAATACCATGGACTTTCTTCAGAGACTTAGAACAAATTATTTTAAGATTTGTGTGGAATCAGAAAAGACCCCAAACAGCCAGGGGAATTTTAAAAAAAGAAAACCATATCTGGGGGCATCACAATGCCAGATTTCAGGTTGTACTACAAAGCTGTGTTCATCAAGACAGTGTGGTACTGGCACAAAAACAGACACATAGATCAATGGAACAGAACAGAGAACCCAGAAGTGGACCCTGAACTTTATGCTCAACTAATATACGATAAAGGAGGAAAGACGATCCACTAGAAGAAAGACAGTCTCTTCAATAAATGGTGCTGGGAAAATTGGACATCCACATGCAGAAGAATGAAACTGGACCACTCTCTTGCACCATACACAAAGATAAACTCAAAATAGATGAAAGATCTAAATGTGAGACAAGATTCCATCAAAATCCCAGAGAAGAACTCAGGCAACACCCTTTTTTAACTTGGCCACAGTAACCGGAGAAGGACAAACAGTGTATGTTCCCATTCATTTGGGGAATATGAATAATAGCAAAAGGGAATATAAGGGAAGGGAGAAGAAATGTGTGAGAAATATCAGAAAGGGAGACAGAACATAGAGACTCCTAACTCTGGGAAATGAACTGGGGGTGGTGGAGGGGGAGGAGGGTGGGGGGTGGGGGTGAATGGGTGACGGGCACTGAGGGGTACACTTGACGGGATGAGCACTGGGTGTTTTTCTGTATGTTGGTAAATTGAACACCAATAAAAATTAATTTATAAAAAAAAAAAAAAAAAAAAAAAAAAAAAAAAAGATCTTTTACCATGAAGTTTGTGTACCTAGTGTGACTCATTTACTATATTTCACAATAGTTAGTGATTCTGATTTATATATTTTCTGAGTATGAACCTCTGATACAAGGACCAAAGTTCTTTACTTAGTATATATGTGTCTAATACAGTGTTAGAAATATTTTTCTTCAATAGAAATCCAGCAAGCCTGCTTAATTTTTTCAATTCATAGGTCTGATCTTCTTATCTCGCTGAGCATTACTCACAATTGAGAAATTTCTGGATATTAAAAAAAAGATCTTTGATTACATAATCCATTTTCCCTTAATTTGAGCCAAGTTGAGCCAACTTCCGTTCAAGATGAAAAGATGGAGACAAAAGTTTAAGTTTGATCTGTTTATTGTTGCCATTATGGGTACATTCTCCTAATTCTCTGCCTCAAATCCCAATGATGCTTTTGTACCTGCAACACATGTCGATCTCAAGTTTCCTTGAGCTGAAATGTTTGGCTTTGGAATGTGAGGCATCTTTCAGGAAACAGTGGGAACTTGTGTGATGAAATGTTTGAGTGACATTTCTTACATCATAAGAAACTCATTGTGAAATGCCACTAGATACAGTCCTTCATTATATTTAGAGAGCCTGAAGATTTTGTTTTTATAGAGAATAGAAAAGGAAACGGGAATTATATAAAATTTAAGTGCAATTAGAAATAAAATTATATCTTACACATTTATAGTACAAATTTTCCAGAGATTGCACAAGTCACAAAATCTTAGAAATTATAAAATTATTTGTAATTTTATAAATTATGTAATTTATAAGGTCTTTCCTAAGGTATTCCCCTCTTTGTATTATATAAAATTAGCTTTCAGCTAAAGGACAAGTGATAATAAATGAGGACTGTCAGGGCCTCCAAAAAAGATATTGAAGAAAGAAAGATAATTAGGAAAAGCAGAAGTCTAAATATTAAAGTTCTGATTAACATTAGATGAAATTGACTTAAACCTGGTAAATCAGTTCTATTCATTTATAGCTAATGTGTGAAGAAGAATTTAAGTTACGTCACTTAAATATAATGATGTTTTGGAAAGCAGGTATTTTTGAAGATGTGTATTTACATTAACTAAATATAGAATGTGGTCCATGTAGGACTTATTCTCCTTTAGTTTTATACCCAATAACTGCATCAAACCTAATATCGATCTTTCGTCTAAAAAGTGCCAGGAAACGCTCAGGAAGGATCCTAAAAAAAGATACATGAAAATAATTAGGAAATAAGTATTAAGTGCATTTGTAAAATATCTTCTTTTAAAATACACTTATCATGTGTCATCATTTTTTTTGCATGAGAAAAAGGACTTTTTAATTTATATTCTATGTATCAGGCAGTTCTATGTAATATATAAACCAAGTGCTGGAAGACAATCACGTAGCTTGGTGATACAATGCGAGAAAGATAGAAGAGGCACATTATAGATGGAAACTATTTTGTTGGGCTTTCTTTCTTCCTTTCTTTCTTTCATTTGAGAATAATGAAGTTTTTTGGATATTTCTTAAAAAAACAGACTTCAGCTTCATTGCCCTAGTCCCCATTTAATAATGAATATTTGTAAAGTCTCCCCATGATAATGCTGTTTTCTCATCCACAGCAGGCTATGGGAATGCCTGTAGGATGGAGCTTTCCATTCTATGGTCTATGGAGAGCCTCAGATGAATATGTGCAATAAGCCTTGTCTAAAAACTGAAGACATGATTTGTCTCTTCTCTGCACTCTTTTCTAATGGATTTAAGTGCTGCTGTGACAGCTAATGTAAAAATTAGAGGGAAGATATTATCATATTATCAGCAACTTCTTGTCATCAGTCATTTCTCAATCAATAGAGATAATACATATCTATAACTTGTGTTTTGGGCATATCCTTATCATGTATCATTTTAAACAATATTTGTCTTAAGATTAGGAAATTTAACTCTGAGTCACTACTCTAAGTTCTTTCCAATTAAATCCATTTTGTTTTCAAAAGGAAAAGGAAGGAGGCTTAACCTCCTTTAGGGTAAGAGTGACTTGAAACATTTAGTTTACGAAATAGATACCCTCCTGTGTTTCTCAGAAGAGCTAAGACAGGAGGTGTCTAGAACTAAAGAGCTGAGATGCTAAAGGCTTTAAAAACAAGAAACATAACATTGGAAAGGGAGTGAGACTAGGAACTAATTTTATATTTTACAATCCAAAATATTATTAAAATGTTCCACTGAGAGACTGAAGAAATGGAATAGCTAAATGAAAATGCAGATAAAGAACTTTGTTTTGAGCATAATGCTGAGCAAGTTATTTAACTTTTGAGTTTAAACTCCTCACGTGAAAATGGAAAAATTAATACCTACTCCACAGTGTTCTTGTGAAGAATCAATGTGTTAACATAAAATGCTTTAAACACTTTATTTTGTACATGTGCTTGCTTCAGCAGCTCATATACATTTTATTTTGTACATGACGGACATATAGTAAGCCTAATTTTTTTGTTCCTACCCTATATAGGCATAGCTCAGAGATACTGCAGGTTTGGTTCCAAACTACTGCAATAAAGCAATTATTACAATAAAGTGAGTCAAATAAATTTGTTGGCTTCCCAGTGCATATAAAAATTATGTTTACACTATACTGTAGTCTATTAAGTGTGCAATAGCATTATGGCTAAAAATATTTATAGACCTTAATTAAAAAATACTGTATTGATAAAACATCCTAACCATTATCTGAGCTTTCAGAAAGTTGTAATCACCAATCACAGATCACCATAACAAATAAAACCATGAAAAACTGTGAAATAGAGCAAGAATTATCAAAATGTGACAGAGCCATAAAGTCCAAAAATGGTGTTGGAAAAATGACGCTGATAGAGTTGCTTGATACAGGGTTACCACAAAACTCCAATTTGTAAAAAAAACACAGTATCTTGAGAGTACAATGAAATGAAGGGCAACAGAATGAGATATGCCTGTACTTAAGAATATTATGGAATTCGTCACGTTCCAATGAGTCTGAGAGACTTTAAACAGAATATGTAAGTCAGTATAACTATAGTTGACCCTTGCACAACACACATATATCTTTTGACTCCCCAAAAACTTAACTACTAAAAGCCTACTGTTGATCAGAAGCCTTACTGATAACCTAAACAGTCGACACATATTTTGTTATATGTATTATATACTATATCCTTACAAAGTAAACTAGAGATAAGAAAATGTTATCATGATAATCATAAGGAAGAGAAAATACACCTACAGTACTGTACTGTATCCAAAAAAATCCACATAGAAGTGGATCCCTGTAGTTCAAAGCCATTTGTTGTAGGGTCAACAGCATATAGGGATATCTGACCTATGGCATTAAAATAAAGCTTGCCAATTGAGCAACAAACATTCATAGTCTGAGAAAAATCAGGGCAATGCTAATAAAAGTGTTAATTATAATAATAATAATAGTTGTCTATAACATTTATTGAGTATAGTATCCTGAATACTTTAAGTGCATCATTTTATTCATTCCTCACAGTCCTATAATGTCTTACTGTCTCCATGTAACAAATGAAGACACTAAGTTTTAAAGAAGTCAAACAGGTCATCCTGTGTTCATGTGGTGAGCAAGTCACAAACATAGCTTCATCTAACTCCAAAGCACAAACTTTGAGTCTCTATGCTAAAAGTCTAGAAAATGGAATTAATTTATTATTATTATTATTTTTAAAGAACCACCTTTTTTTTTTAGATTTTATTTATTTATTTATTCATGAGAGACAGACACTGAGGCAGAGACACAGGCTGAGGGAGAAGCAGGCTCCCTGCGAGGAGCCTGTTGCTGGACTCGATCCCAGGACCTGAGGATCATGCCCTGAGCCCAAGGCAGTCATTCAACCTCTGAGCTACCCAGGCATCCCTAGAATCAATTTATTAAATCAACATTTTGGTGCTGCCATGTGTCCATCAACTCTTCGAAGTACAGGGGTTACAGACAGTCATGAAAAAAGACAAACTTCCTTCCCTCATAGGCTTACATTCTAAAGGACTGTAATCACTGAGTGCTTACTTATGAAATGTAACAAGAATAATGGTAAACACTTCATAGGTTTTAACTTGGTCATTCAGCCAGGAGATTCTTGAGTTTTCTCAAGGTTTAGGTTGATTACCTAAACTTCTAAGGAGTGTTCAACCACAGTTCCTTGCAGAAAGGGCTAAAAAGCCTGATATGTGTCAGGTATGCTTTTGATTTCTTGAAATTTTTTCAGTCTGTAGGTCAGTAATTCTCAAAGTATAATCTTGAACCAACTGCCTGAGGCAGTTGCCTGTCAAAATACAGTTGTCTGGGTCCCAACCGAAATATCCTGTATTAAAACCTCTAGAGGGACCTGGGTGGCTCAGTGGTTGAGTGTCTGTCTTCGACTCAGGGCATGACCCCAGGGTCTTGGGATCAAGTTTGGCATCGGGCTCCCCTGAGGGAGCCTGCTTCTCATTTTGCCTGTCTCTTCCACTCTCTCTGTGTCTCTCATGAATAAATAAATAAAATCTTAAAAACAAAAAAACCTCTAGAGGTGAGATCCAATAATTAATTTTTAAAAATTATCTTCCCAAGCGATCCTGATGCCTCACCATGTTGGAGGCCTGACTGTAGGAACAGAGAACAAGAAGCTGGCTGACTGGCTTCCTTGCTTCCTTGCTTGCTTCCTTCCCTCTTTTAACCTAAGCTACCTCTTCACATTCCCTTCATTACTTGGACTAGCCTCACTGCCACACAGTGTTCCCATGTGAGTAATGAGGCAATGTGTTAGGTGGAAGGTGGTTAAACCAAGTGGTTTCCAATCTTGGCTGTACATCAGAATCACTGGGAAAGTTGTATCTCTCAGATCAGCCCACACTCCAGACCAATCACATCAATCTTGGGGAGTAGGTTCCAGGCCTTAGTATTTTGAAAACTGCTAAGTGAATTCCAATGTGACCAAAGCTGAGAGCTAGTGCTCTAAAGAAATGCTTCTTAAATTTGAATATGCATTCAAATCACCCTTGGGTCCTATAAGAATGCAAAGTCTGGTTCAGGACATCAAGAGAATCTGTATTTCTAACAAAGTCCCAGGTGATGCTGATGTTGCTGATCCATGGAAGTAGTAAGGCTCAAGGATCTCTAAAATTATTGAATTCTAAAAGCTTATTTAAGCATTCTTATGTTTCAGTATGCTTTTGGACAAAATACGAGCTCAGTGATTATCTATTGTATTTTTAGATGAATATCTAAAACCTTATGGTCTCCTCCAACCTTATGGTTCTATGACTTCACTATGTAATAATGCTTAAAAACTACCCTTCTTTATAGTCATCTTCTATGAGACAAGACTTCCAGAAATATACACATTTCTTTTTCTAAAAAAAAGAAATTTAAACACTTGTGGAAATTACTCAGCTCGTTTACCCAATTGCTATACAAACCCTGCTTCAAGGATTAACAAATGTGGTTTTAAAAATTGATGGATTATCGAAGCCTATACTTTTTGTCTCTTAATTCCATTTAATTGTGCTTTATCAAATGTCTAGTTTTAAATCTGAGTAAAAGCATTAATACATAAATCTTTATTTATAATGCTGATAAATGTAACTGTCACTTACTTTTCCACCACTGTTAAAAAGCATATAGAAGATGGAATAAAAATCATTTTCTGCTCAGTCAGGATCCCATTCATCAGCTTGTCTACCACTTCCTCAGGTTCCAGGATGGGCCCCAAACTGAAATCAGAAGCAGTCTTCAGCAACAAAACATTTCACTGAAGCTTCTGCTTTAATTAGGTGCTAAACAAATAAGTTAAATTACCATAGGAATCATAACATAACAAACTTGTAGCATTTGGCCCATTATAAGTGCTCAAAAATAGCTACTGTTTTAGCATGAATATTAACAACCACTTATTTAGTGCTTATCATGTACTGTGCACTGTGCTAAACACTCTACATAGGTCATCTCACTGAAGTTTTCCAACAACCTGTGATGGAGATCCTATAGTACCTATTTTGTCTTGCAAATGAGAATTATAGAAGTAGCTAGGATTCAAAAATAATTGAGCTAAATTAGGACTGATAAATTCACTTTTATATCTTTAGAAGTTTTGGGGCACCTGGGTGGCTCAGTTGGTTAAGTGTCTGCCCTCAGCTCAGGTCATGATACCAGGGTCCTGGGATCTAGCCCCACATGGGGCTCCCTACTCAGCAGGGAGTCTGCTTCCCCTTCTCCCGCTGCCCCTCCCCACCCTTCCCACGCATTCCCTCTCTCTCTCTCTCTCTCTCTCTCTCTCTCAAACAAATAAATAAATAAATAAAATCTTTAAAAGTCTTGGGGAAAAAGTCAAATACCATTATACAAGTTTTATTATTTACTAAGACTGTTTAGTAAACAATTTCTAAAGTATCAGAGAAAATTAAAATATATATGATATGATCTTTCATTCTCAGCCTAGGTCAGTCATTTATTAGAATACTGTGTTCACCCTGAACCCTGAAGACTACATAGGAAAACCTGGAGATGCAACAGAAAAGGAAATGTAATAATAAAGGTGAGTGCTTTTGGCCCAGAGGAGGTAAAAATGAAAGGCAATGGAAACCTGAAGAAGACTAAGCCCTCCTTTGCCTAGGGCATAAGCAGAGAACCAAGGAGGATGAATCTAGAAACTGAAAGATGCTTGTGTCTTGAAGTGTTCAGAAGGAAATTCACTTTCTAGCATATTGCTATCAGACTTCACTACTCCCAAGTTCCATGAAAACTCACAACCACCTATGTAAACAGTACAGCATACATCCACATTCCCACTGTGGCCTTGTGAACCTACCAATCAAATGATATTGCATTGACTAAACTTTTCTTAGTGTACTCCCTCTCTTTACCCCAAATCTCAGCCTCTGCCAGAGAAATTTTCATTAAATTTAATGGCTGGCCAAGAATACAATTTTTAAAAGGCCAAAAAGAACAGGCTTCCAGAAAATAATATCTTGGAAGAATAAAATCTTAATCATTAAAATATCAGTACATGGAAAAAATTTTTCCCCTGACAGTCTAATGTTAATAAGAGTTGCAAATCCTATTAAATAAATGTTCATGATGGATTCTGTAGAAACTGTCCCAAAACACTTCAGGCCTATCTATTGGTGTGGGGGAGAATTTATGTGGGGGCATAGTAATACTTAGGGACAAAGAGTATTTTCAGGCTGAACTTTGTTTGATTATCTAACTACCACTTGAGTGATTAAGTAACTTTGGGGAAGATATTTCTACTATTTAAAGTTTTTTAAAAAAGGATTTTGTTTTTGTATTTAATCTGAAAAATGGGTTTAATGCAGTGGTATGCTAGTAAATGTTTCACAACTGGCTCTCTAGGGCACAGAATTCTCTGTTTTGTAGCATTTAATTTCTATGGTGTAAATACTCTCACCATGGCTGGTTTCAAGCTATTATTGCTGAATGAGTATAAGCTCAGCACTCCACTGGTAATGTGCATGGAAGTACTTGATGCAGTCATACTATACAAATGTTACTTGTCACCTTTTTTTTATGGTACTAGCCAACAAAACTATTATCTTTCTGTAGTACACACAAAAATTAAGCTTTTAAAAAGAAAAATTTTATGTATATTTCATGTAGGAGTGATGTTTTTAAAAGGATATTGAACAAAAATAATTCTTGGCTATCAAAAAAATTTAATCAGGATAGCCAATGACAAGCTAATAAATTCAGGTTATGCTACATTGTTTTTATCACTAATTGGAAAGAGAGAGATAACTTATTGAGGGAAGAATATTTAATTAAAAATTGTTCATATGCCTAACAATAGAGCTCCAAAATACATGAAGCAAAAACTGACAGAATTGAAGGAAGACACAGTTTAAAAATAAGAATTGGAGACATTAATCTTACTTTCACCAATGACTTGAATGGCAGTATAACCAACTAAATCTAACAGCATCTATAGAACACTCCACCCAACAACAGCAGAATTCATATTCCTCTCAAGAGCACAAAGAGCATTATCCAGGACAGACTATATGTGAGACAACAAAACAAGTCTCGTTAAATTAAAAAAAAGACTAAAATCATACAAAATATGTTCTCCAACAACAGTAGGATAAAATCAGAAATTAAGAGCAGAAGGAAAACTGGAAAATTCACAAATATGTGGAAATTAGCCAATGGTACAAGGAAGAAATCACAGGAAATTAGAAAGTACTTTGAGATGAATGAAAAAACACAACATACCAAAATTTATGGGATGCAGCAGAAGCAGTGCTCAGAGGGAAATTTATAGTTATAAATGTCTACATTTTAGAAAAACTCTGAGATCTCAAATCCATAACCTAACTTTTTACTTTAATAAACTAAAAAAAGAACTAAATGTAAAGCAAGCAAAATGAAATAAGATTAGAGCAGAAATAAATGACATGGAGAATAAATTATAATAAAAAAATCAATGAAACCTAAAGTTGGCTTTTTGAAAGATCAACAAAATTGACAAACTTTTAGCTAGACTGACCAATAGAAAAAGAAAGAAACTATTATGAAAATGAGGACATTACTGCTAATCTTACAGACATATAAAGAGTTATAAGAGGGATCCCTGGGTGGCGCAGCGGTTTGGCGCCTGCCTTTGGCCCAGGGCGTGATCTTGGAGACCCAGGATCGAGTCCCACATCGGGCTCCCAGTACATGGAGCCTGCTTCTCCCTCTGCCTGTGTCTCTGCCCCCCTCTCTCTCTCTCTCTGTGTGTGTGACTATCATGAATAAATAAATTTAAAAAAAAGAGTTATAAGAGAATACTATCAACAATTGTATGCCAACCATTAGATGACCTAGAAGAAATTCCTAGAAACACACAAAGCACTAAAACTGATTCAAGAAAAAAATATAAAATATGAGTAGATCTTTAATCAGAGATTGAATCAGTAACCAAAAAACCCCCAGCAAAGAAAAGTCCAGGACCAGATGGCTTCATGAAAAATTCTATCCAATATAGGATATCCAATATCCAATAAGGAATTAACACCAGTCCTTCTTAAAGTTAAAAAAAACAAACAAACCAGAACTTGTCCTAGCTCAGTCTACAAGGCCAGAATTACCCTGCAAATAAAGCCTAAGACTAAGATATCTTAGGATATCTTAGAAAACTTATAAAAATATCTCTTATGAACATAGATACAAATATCCTCAACAAAATCCAGCATCAAAGCAAATGCAGCATCATAGTAAAAGGATTATATACTATGGCCAGGTGAGATTTATTGCAAGAATGCAAGGTGGAGGTAGGGGGCACCTGGGTGGCTCAGTTCGTAAAGCATCCAACTCTTAGTTTTGGCTCAGGTCATGATCTCAGGGTTGTAAGACTGAGCTTGGTATGGAGGCTGCTTGAGATTCTCTCCTTCTCTCTCTGCCCCTCCTCTTGCTCTATGCTCTCTTTTTCTCTAAAATAAGATAAATAAAAAGAACCCTCCAAGAATGTGAGGTGGTTTATCACATAAAAATCAATCATTATAGTATATCATATGAAAAGCCCCATATGATCATCTCAATAGGCACAGAGAAAGTATCTGACACAATTCAACATGCTTTCATGGGGGAAAAAAAAGCACTCAACACACTGGGAACACAGGGGAACTTCCTTAAGCTGATTTCACAAGCACTTACATGATACAGCTTGGTTTCTATAAACAGAGTGGAGTAAAAAAAAATAACAGGACTTGTTAAATATGATGATCATCAGCCTTTCTAATAATCAAAAATGTATTAATATAACACAGAAGTACTTTTTTCCCTCATCATTTGACAAAAATTAAACATGTGGTAATATTCAAAGCTGGCAAATATCTCGCTGGTGGCGGGATAAATTAGGACAATCCATCTGGAGGGAGTCTAATAAATCTTTCAGAAGTAAATAAGTTCCTACTCTTTGATCCAGCAATTCCATTTCAAAAAACCATAATCATAACAAAATGGCTAGAAAAGTGAACAAAGACATATGCACATACACATATACACACAATGAGCTTCCCAATTATTTTTTATTCGTCACTAGTAGAGCTTTGTCAGAAGAGGGCACTCTTGCCCACAAGGAAGGTTAGTTTGTGCAGCTTTGTCCTGTTTGTGCAAGGAAGGCAATGTTAAAAAATTCAATTATAATAAAAAAATATACGGTGTCTGTTTTTAACTGCTTAAAGACAGTCTGGGCGAAAAAATTGATTCAAATATATTATATCAGGGTCCAATGAAGGTTTTCCTCTTGAAAATAATGGAGGAGGGGCATCTGAGTGGTTCAGTCTGCCTTTGGCTCAGGGTATGATCCCAGGGCCTTGGGATTGAGTCCCGCATCAGGCTCCCTGCAGGTAGCCTGCTTCTCCCTCTGCCTATGTCTCTGCCTCTCTCTGTGTGTCTCTCATGAATAAATAAATAAAATTTTTAAAACAAAAAAAGAAAATAATGGAGGAAGTTGGCAAATCTTATCCTTGAGATGGAACTCACCTCTTACTTTGACACTTCCTTTTAATTGTAATGGACTTTTTAAAAAAATTTATTTTTATTGAGATATAACTGACTCATCACATATCACATGTAAGCTTAATATATATGGTGTGTTGATTTGATACATTTATATATTGCAATATGATTACCATGGTGGAATTGGCTAACATCTCTATCGTATCACATCATTTTTGTGTGTGTGTGTGTGTGTGTGTGTGTGTGTGATGGGAACAATTAAGATCTAGCCTCTTACCAACTTTGTTTTTTTTTTTTTTTAAAGATTTATTTATTTATTCAGAGAGAGAGAGGCAGAGAAAGAAGCAGGCTCCATGCAGGAAGCCCGATGTGGGACTCAATCCCAGGTCTCCAGGATCATACCCCAGGCTGCAGGCAGTGCTAAACCGCTGCACCACCAGGGCTGCCCCTCTTACCAACTTTGATGTTTATAATACAGTATTGCTGTCTACAATCACTCTGTTGCATATTAGATCTCCGGGAGTTACCACTTGCAGGTTTTGCCCTGAAACAATTATCTCCTCAATTCTCCCACCTGCTGCCTCTGGTAACTACCATTCTACTCTGTGTTTCTATGAATCCAGATTTTTTAGATTCCACACATAAGTGAGATCATAGAGTATTTAACAGGCTATTGAGGTTTTTTTCATCTTTCTACTCCTCCTGGTCAGCTCTACTCCTCAGGCCCCCAAATTAATTCGTCCTTTGTGTTCTCTCTTTAGGGCCCAATTAGGGTTTTCTCGACTAATACAGATTAATCAAGACACTAACTTTCTGAAGTAAATATGTTCACTTTTGTTTTCTAACAAAATCGTATCTTAAAAATAGGCTCATGGTGTGCCTGGGTGGTACAGTTAGTTGGGCATCCAACTCTTGGTTTTGGCTCGGGTTGTGCTCTCAGGGTTGTGGGATCAAGCCCCATACTAGGCTCTGCACTCAGCCTAGAGTCGGCTTGGGGTTCTCTCTCCTTCTCCCTCTGCCTCCTCTTCCCTGTGCACTCTGTCTCTCCAAAATAAGTAGATAAATTAAAAAAAATAGGCTTTTGGACAATTTGATAGATTCTTCGGGGAGCTTGAGATCTTTGCACAGTCACCAAATTTCCAGCTGATGTCGACCTTCTACTCTATCTACCTATGGGCAGACATATCTAGATTAAGGTGTATTAAATGGAACCTTCTATTTTCCCAGAGTGTCACACTGGATATCCTTCGTTAATTTCGAATATATTTTCACCAAAGGCAGATGAATTGGGGAAAATAGGGAGAAAATTTGAGTATGTAGAATAAAACTTAAAGACTGAATCCTATCAGGGCAAGAGATCATCCAAAAGTAGACCCATGTACCTATCCAGATTTATTGTAAAGATGACATTTCAAAGCAGTGAAGGAAATGATGTGTTATTTAATAAATAATGCAAAATAACTTATTAACTATTTGGGAAAAACAAGCAACACCCTGATCTTATTTCTTAAAGTAAATTTGGGTGGAGCAAAGGTCTAGATGTGAAAATGCAACCATAAAAGTATTAGAAAAATATAGATGGATATCATATGCTTGAAGTGAAAAAGACCTTTATAAACACCTGGGAGAAATGAAAGGCCAGGAAGGAAAAAAAAATGAGAAATTTTAATGTAAAAATAAGTAAAAATAAGTTTAAAGGCAAATAGCAAGCTGGGGACAATATATATGCAACATCAATGGCATATGAAAGGGTATCTTGAATGTACAATGAACTCATGGGTACCAACTTTGAAACTCGATGGCTCAGTAGAAAAGGTGAGCAGAAGCCATGTAACAGGCAATTCACAAAAGAAGTCAAACTACCAAAAAACTTAGGAAAACACTTTAGTCTAACTACTAAGTCATCAGAAAACAAAGACGATCCTTCACGTGGGCAAAAGGCATAAAATCTGCAGAAGGCAGATTGGTGGGGAGGTGGAGGTGCTCTTCCTACACTGGTGGCCATGAGTGTAGATTGGCAGAACACTTCTGGGGTACTTTGGTAGTATGTACAAATATTTAAAATTTGCATACACTTTGACCCAGTAAACCCTCTTCTAAAATCTACCTGAAGGAGGGGCACCTGGTGGGTCAGTCAGCTAAGCAGCCACCTTCTGCTCAGGTCATGATCCCAGGGTCCTGGGATTGAGCCCCAGGCATTGGGCTCCTTACTCAGTGGGGAGTCTGCTTCTCTCTCTACCCCTCCCCTCACTTGTGCTCTCTCTCTCAAATAAACAAATAAAATCTTAAAAAAAAAAGTAAAATAAAATCTACCTGAAGGAGATGGTACCAAAATGTGAAAGTGTGTGTGCACTAGGATAGGATGTTCATTATAGCTGTGCTATGGTAAAAATCTCTAGTAGGCACAACTGTTCAGACTAAGTAATCAATACAACCTATGATAAAACTCTGTATTTACCGACAGGAAATGATGTCCATGACACAATGCTGAGGGAAATAAGTACTTTACTTACAGCTTCCAGAATCCCATGTGTAATATATGCTAGTTGCATAAAATTCAGATATTTAAGCAGTACATAGAAAGATGTCTAGAAGGATGTTCATCAAAATGTTAAGAGTAATCTGCACTGGATAGGTTTCAAGGAAATTAAAAAAAAACAACCTTTCTTATTTATTTGTATTTTTCTGTATGTTGGAATTTTTAAAAAGTATGCATCATGCTTATGAAGACATTAAAACTATTCCCAAAGGGGAAAAACATTAAAATTTAACCTCAGAATTGATCCTTTAGAGTTTTATTTAATTAATTAATTTAGTTCTAGAGAGGGAGAGGGGGTGATGGGAGGGGCAGAGGGAGAGGGAGAGAGAGAATCCCAAGCAGGCTCCCTACCCAGCTCAGAGCCTTATGCGGGGCTCGATCCCATGACCCTGAGATCATGACCTGATCTGAATTCAAGAGTTGGATGCTTAACTGATGGAGCCACCCAGGCATCCCTATAGTTTTATTTTTTAACCGAGTGAAGACTGGTTGGTACTCATTTAGAGGATAATCTCTAGACAACCAAGCAAAAATGTTTTTTACACTGTGGTCCTGGGTTATCTATCAGAATTGCCAATGATACCTGCTAAATAGAGTCTTAAGGCCCCTTCCCCACGACTATCCTATCCCAGACAAACCCAAGCAACCAACATATGTGGGGATGGGACCCCTACACGGTTCCCAAGCACTCCTGGTGAAATGTATGTATATTTAAGTCAGAGAAACATTGCTTGGGAAAATTAAAAAAAAAAGGAGGATTAGCAAGTTCACCTGAGTTAACTCGTATTTATATTTATGTACATTCTCTCCCTCGCTTGTCTCTCCACCTGTTTTCCCACAATCTACAAGAGCTGAAATTGAGATGAGCTAAGGGCATCGAATATCAGGTGTTCTAAGGATTAAAATATTTAAGAAACTGCGCAGAATTGTTGATATTCACACTAATCACCAATCCTTTTGTCCTCGTTTCTGTCTCAACTTACGCAGTACTTGCGTTTTTGATGAAGCCAGTGTTTATAAAATTAGGGCAGAGACATGTTGTTTTGACTCCAGTTCTTTCTAAGGCAGCCAGTTCTTCAGTCAAAGCTTTATGAAACCCAACAGCAGCAAATTTGCTTGAACTGAAAATAAACAGAGAGAGGTCACAAAATAATTCAAGAAAGTTGCTGTATCTGCTTAATTCAGATGCCTGTTTTCCCTAGTTAAGTGTGGTCCTGTGCCAAGCCTCATTGCCATGAGCTGAGTCTCAAGTTCTAGCCCAGACCTACTGAATCAGTATGTGCATTATACTTAGGTAAATTTATAGACATTAAAGTCTATGGAAGCAGGGCCTCCATAGGGTGTCTCGGTGGGTTAAGAGTCTTGATTTCTCTTGATTTCAGCTCAGATCATGATCTCAGGGTCCACACTCAGCGAGGAGCCCGATTGGGATTCTCTTACTTCCTCTCTTGTCTGCTCCCTGCTGCCCCCCATCCCTGTTTCTGCGCAAGCGCGTTTGATCTCTCTCGCAAAAATAAACCAGTAACTCAGTCTTTAAAGTCTAGGAAGCATGGGCACGGGACGCTTACTGCATCCCAGCGTCACTTACTGGAATGAGAACTGAGTAGGTTCAAAGGTCTTGCCAGGAAAATTGGTAAAGTGTTTGTTTTTGTTGATGCTGCTTCCATAAGATTTAATATCACTATAGCCTGTTAATTATTTAATATATCCAGGGAAATTCTCTTGGGCAAGTCCTGTTTTTTCCTTTAAGTCTCAGTTTCACTTCCTCAAAGAGGCCTTCCTTTACTCCTAGTCTAAATTATTTTCCCCATATATAGTAACCTTCAGTTTTTCAAAATAGCCTGTTTAGGATTTGTGATTAAATATTTATTTGGATGAACTTTTTTTTTAAATTATTCTTACCCTTTCATTTGCTTTTTTTTTATTCTTTTTTTATTTTTTATTTATCTACGATAGTCACAGAGAGAGAGAGAGAGAGGCAGAGACACAGGCAGAGGGAGAAGCAGGCTCCATGCACCAGGAGCCCGACATGGGACTCGATCCTGGGTCTCCAGGATCACGCCCTGGGCCAAAGGCAGGCGCCAAACCGCTGCACCACCCAGGGATCCCTGAACTTTTTTTTTTAACATCTGTCCCTCATACTTTTACTATAAGTTTCATGACTATTTTGGTTTCCAATAAATCCCCAGGGCCTAGCATAGTGCTTGGCATATAACAGCTGCTCAATAAACATTTGTCAAATCAAAGAATCGAAAGGCAAAGCAATTCTTATTGTCATAGCTCCTTCATTTGGCAAGAGAAGGAAAATTAATCATATTCTAAGCAGATATTTCTTTTCTAATTAGTTTAAAAAAAACCCTAGCTTTATAGAGAAATAAATTCATGTATCATAATTCACCCATTTGAAGTGTACAATTCTATGGTTTTTGGAGTATTACATTATTCATCTTAGAAAATTGTGTGAAAATATATATAATAAAATATGCCATTTTTACCATTTTTAATTGTGCAGTTCAGGGCAATTACTGGATTATTTTTCTATAAGTCTGTATTTATTAGCAATTACACAAAGTAGTTGTAAATTTGTGCCAATTAACCTGTGCTTTGGAAAATACAAATATGTGCAAAGTTTTCTCTCAAATTTTTTTTTAAAGCTTAGACATATACTGAAGACTTAAAAGATAGCTTTCTAGATTTACTTAGGTAAAACGTAAATCTTACCTTGAAAAATGACACAAAAATAATCACATGTAAAATTGATCACTATATGTCAGACACTGTCCTCCATTATTCAGATGTATTATTGCATTTAATCCTCACAACGACTCTTTGAAATAGATATTACCATGATCCTCATTTACCAAAAAGGAAACGGAGGCACTAAGGGAGCTGTTGGTTTAACAATCCCCTTGGGAGCTTCTTGGGTATAATCTGAAACTGCTCCCTGCTGTACATGGAGAGCAAGGAGAGGCTGAAGAAAAAAAAAAGCAGGCCCTACAGATTGGTGGATGGCAGGTGTAACAAGCGAGGGAACCTGGGAGGCTCTTCTAGCACAGCTGCAAGGTGAGTAGATTTCCTCACCCACCTGCCGGAATCTTAAAAGTTTACAAGAGGCCTTAATTGGGTTTAGTCATATATACCATCCCGATAGTCTTGACATCACCTTTCTATCTCAAGGCTGTGTCCTTGGGGCAGCTTTTGGGAATGGGGAAGGCAATAGGATACCATGTTCCAAGGACAGGGTGAGGTGCGGGGGGAGCCTCTGATTGCCTAGGTTCAGCTTACAGGTCATGTCTTCTGAAGGACCTCCCCCAACAGGGTTATAGGACTTGCCCAAAGACACGAGACAAAGTGGGAGAATCAGGCTTTAAATTGGCGCAATAAACCAGGCCTCTATATGATATAGTCTAAACTTCATTAGCTCACAATCAAGTTGAAAGGCAAATGACAAACTGGTAAAGCAGTTGCAGCATGTAAGACATGGGTAAGGGTTAATATACGGCAACTTTTATTAATGAATAAGGCAATCCTCTAATGGATAAATGGTTAAAGGACATTAGCAGAAAATTCACAATATAAATATACCAGTGGATCTATGCATATAAAAATGTTTTATTTCAAGAATAAAATAAATACAAACTAAAACAAGACGGAGTTTTTGTCTAGCAATAATGGTGAGAATCTGAGGAAATTGTTTATCAATATACAGAATATTTTCATTTTATATCATTGATCTAGGAATCTTTTCTTTAAGCCTTCAATATATGCTAAGCTTAAGAAAAAAGATGAGAAAGAATTTCCATAGCTTTCTCCTTTCCAAAGCACAAGTTAATTGGCAGCCTTATCTGGAAGGCACTTTGGCAAAAGGTATCAAATTCATTAAAAATATGCCATGCTTTTAGATCCAGTAATTGCTCTTATAAATATTTATCCAAAGGAAATAACCAATCTTGTTTCTAAAGATTTATATTCAAGTTAGTCTCTGGGATATATAGTTCATGAAGGCTAATGGTCGGAAACTATTTATTTATTTATTTATTTATTTATTTATTTATTTATTTATTTATTTATTTATTTATTTATTTATTTATTTCATGAGAGACACACACACACAGAGGCAGAGACATAGGCAGAGAGAGAAGCAGGCTCCATGGAGGGAGCCCGATATGGGACTTGATCCCAGGACTCCAGGATCATGCCCTGGGCCAAAGTGAGGTGTTCAACTGCTGAGCCACCCAGGCAACAATTTTAAATGTTTGGCATGGATAGCTGTTGTTTTTGCCCACCGGCATTCTGATTTCCTTATTCTGGTGACATCACTCTGATTTTGCCAGGTAGCACCCCTCTCTGCCTCCCCATACAGTAGTTGGACCATCTAGTTAGAGTAAACTCTGGAACTAGAGTGTTTGAAAGACATAACTGGGAAATCATGGCTTTTCCTCCACCTGCTGGATATTGAGAGGCTATTAACTCTGGAGCTGCTACCGACAGATAGAGGAGAGCCTGCCTGAGACTTTTAACTACAGAGCTAAAGAATTCCTCTTTTGGTCCAAGGCCATTTAAGTTTTGTGTTCTTTGCAACTGAGAGTCCTGGCAAATAAACCGCACAAAAATAGTGGATAAATTGTAAAACAGTGGCACATATGTGCAGCAGGATATCATGCAAAAAATGAAAATGATATTGCACATATGTATATATTAATGTGCAAAATGTTCATTTAAAATTTTAAAAAGCCAAGATTATGTAGGCAGATTTCTTTCAATGCTTGACTGTCTACCTGTATTTAAAATGTCCTAAAATGATAATAATTTTTAACCATGGTTATTTCTACATGGTAAGATTATCAGTACATTTGTTTTCTTTTACTAAACTGTATTTTCTGATTTTCCTTAAATGAACCAAAAGTGCACAAATATATTAAAGCTTAGAGTTAATGATATTAAGTGTATTAAAAGAACTCCGTATTTTTGAACTTCAGGGTGCATTTGTTTATATATATATGAAAGCTAAAAGTGAGTGGATTTTTTCTGCACTTTGTAACATTACATCAAATTTCTTATTATTAATAATATGAATTAATATTTCTTTTTCTAATCATCCTTTTAAATAACATTTCATTATAAGCTAATAAAGATCAGGACTTGATTTTGCCATGTCTTCCCATACTGGTGACTTTCATACATATAAATTGTCTCTTTAAGTTGACAAGAGATATTAGCCAGAGTTTCATGGTACTTTTAAACATTTTCGTTTTAAAATCAAGATACTTTTGGACAACATACTTATTAGCAAGCAGCAAAAAAACATTTTAGAATAGAATTAAAAGGTGAACATCTCTCATGGTGAACCCTGTTTTTTTATCTTGGACTTTTCATATTAATCATTTAAAACTGTTGAAATGTAACTCCAAAATAAATTGAAACATTTTTTTCCAATAGAGGTGATTGGATCTGTAACAAATTCTTTTGCTATGGCTGTAGCAACTCAGGATAATGACAGCTAACAGTTGGTTACAGGGGAAAAAACCCCAGGTAATTCCAGATCCCCTCTCATTTCATTTCAACCTTCAGGAGCCAGAGCATATAGGGTTAGTTCCACTGAGGCAAAGCATTCTGGAAGCTAAAATGAGAGGGGGTACCTTGCTATTTTGTGTGATTACAGGGAAGTAGAATTGGAATGTAACACTAACAGGTACCCTCCTGTTTTGAATACTTGTAGGACTCCAGATTCTATACTAAGTGCATTACATTATATGATTTAAACTTTACAGCATCCTGGTGATTGAGTTAGTTGCTATGATTAATCTCTTTTATGGGTGAAGAAAATAAAGCATAGAGGAATTGAGGAACTTGTCAAAGGTCACATAAAGTTAATTATTGAGTCAAGATTCATAACAATATGATTCATAATGGTTTCTTCCTGAAAACAACCCAAATGTTTGTAAATGGTATTACGGATAAATAGTTGTCTGTCTAGTCATATCACGCAACACAATGCCTGCAAGACAATGATGGAGCTTTAGCTACCAACAACAAGGATACACCTCACAAAAATAGTGTGACTCCATTTATCTAAAGATCAAAATCAGGCAAAATCATTCTGTGGTGTTGCAAGTGAATTACAGAGTTTACCTTTGAGAAGCAAAGAGGGATTACTGGTTGGGAAGAGTTCAAAAAGTTGCTCCTAAGGTCTTGTTCTATTTTTTTTACTTGCATGGTGGTTAAATAGATATGTTCACTCTATAGTAATTCATTGAGCTGTACATTTATGATTTCTGCACTTTTATAAAGTTATGCCATACTTCAATAGAAAAGTTTATGTTTTAAAAGGCAGTGTCTCTGTTGTATTACCCAATTGTTAATAACAAACACCGATGATAAACACACTGCTCTGTGTTTGAAGAAGCCTCTGTGAAAGTTCTATCATTGATCAGAGGCTGAGCAAAAACCAGAATCAACTTAATCAAAGACAGGTATGGTCACTAAGGATCACAGACTGCAGCAGCTCACGTCATTTGCAGCTGAGGATCCAAAGAAGAGTCCTGCAGGGGCAAGCAAGCAGCCCTTCTGTCCCGAAGCCACAAGTATACAAACCATTTGTGTGGTTCCAGCCAAGAGGGTGCCTTTGTGTGAAGACGAAAAACCTACTCCTCTTCTCAAGCTACTTTACTGCCATCTCCTGGAAAATCCTTCAAGTTTAAAGGGACCTAAATATGAACAGTGCCGCCTAGAAGTGTGTTGTCTGCAATCTGCACGACTGTGTGTGTCATTTGTGCTTTGACAATACTCAGTGAGAGCTTTTACTTCTGCTGAAAGCACTATCAGGAGTAACCGAAATAAATTTGTTTCTCACACAAAACACATTCTCTCTTGGTTTTCACTGCTGACCATTCAGTGGAGTAGAATCAAAAGAGCTACAGTTATTTACTATGGCAAAGAGGAGGAGGAAGTTCACAGCCCTGTTGGACTCAGCTTCTCTTGGGTTATCTTGATGCTCAGAGACCAAGAATGTGGCAGGGGATCAGGGCGTCAACACCTGTAGCTATGGTTCATCAAGGCAAGGAATGCCAAATGGACAATCATCTAACTTATACTGGCTCTGGACCAGAGGTCTATTCTGTGAGTGCATCAGCAGTCATTTCATCTTTTAGAAGAAACCTCAATCCAAATATGTGTTGATTTTTAAAAACAATTAGAAGACAAATATATATTAAGAGAGAAAATACAGATGAATAAAAGGAACAAAATAAACTTATCATTACCAAAGAATAACCACTCTCCAGATGTGGTTAGAGGAAAATGGCTTGGTATATGCCCTTGCAAACTTGTAAAATGCAAAATATAGACCTTTTATATACACACACATATATATGTATGTATATATTATATAGAAACAAGATACCCATCCATGCCTATGTTTATATATTTATATGCATACAACTGTATCTGCTGTTTCTAGAATTTAGATACTTCATTCCAAAAAAGCAGGATAGTAGAAAACAAATTTGAGCAATCTGTATGTATATTTATTTGCACACTAGATATTATTTGCACAGTAATTCAACATTTTAAGAGTTATTATTTGCTAAAATATAAAAATGGCCAAGCACTGTTGGGGTGTGTGCAACCGGTAGGGTCACCTGGGGTATGGTGGCCTCACTGATCAATTCTTTACAGTAACAGTGGAGCACACCATTATTGTGCCCTGCTTGATATAGTAAGCTCTTCAGTTATTACAATGGCATGGATTTTTAAATGGATTACTATTATATTTTTTAAAAACAATGCCATTGTTTGGATGATTCTAATATTTAGAATCTCAGATTATACTTTCTCTTTATACTGTTTTTGTTTTTTCTTTATACTGTTTTATTTCCACAAAATTACTTTATTAAAAATTACTAATATTAGCTTTCATTAATGGTACAAAAATATTACTCTTGTTTTATAATTTCTTGCTGCTAAAAGCGATGAGAAATGCTTTAAGATATTTGGCTTCTAATTGGATAATTTGCCTGCAGCCACTTCTAGAATGGTCAGCCTTGGAGGGGATTAATGGTTGATAATGCTGTTGTACAAGAGACTTTTGTGCAACTTTCTGACTATTGCAGCAACTTCAAGTTTATCATCATTAACAGTAGTTTTCATTAGACAGGGTAAGAAATCACACAAGTTAAGCACAGGAACAAATTAAGGAAACACATGCTCACTTACCAATACGCAAGTAAGAAGGGGACCCCAGTATGCCCAGCTGCTGAAGCCACAGTGACAATATGGCCATGATTATTCTTCATCATCACTGGAAGAAATGCTTTTGTAGTCTAGAAATAGTATTTATTTAGAGGAAAAGACATATTGTTATTTCTGATTTGCAGACCCATTGGGAATATTTCTAAACAAACTATATTTTGTTAATATTTTTCCTAGAATAAAGGGAAAAAAACCTAGATTAATTGCCAAATGTGGTAACATAAGGCAACTGGATAGGATGCCTAGATTGGAAAAACTAAGCAAAGCAATGGATACCGAAAACTTTGAGACTCCATTTCATTTAAATTGCGAACTTCTACTATTCCCTAATTCTCCCTCATTTTGTCATTGATGTTTTCTATCATTTCATATATTGAATAAATATAATAATCTAGAGTTATCAAAAGAATTTGTATGTAATGTTAAATTGTTAGAAAATAGTTTGGTCATGTCATCAAAATACTGAAATGAACAGCAATCTTCCAGTAGTCACAGAACAATTCATGCGATAAATATTGAGCACCTACTATGTGATGGGGATTCAAAAACATTAAGACAATGCCCTACATTCTAATAAAGATAGAAAGACAGGTAAATTCAGCTATAAGGATACAAAGTTATAAAGATACAAAAACAGGTGTCAATAACTTGGGAATATTGACGTAATATAACGCTGCATTTTCTCCAATTGCAATATTCTTTAGAGATTGTGTATCCCAAACTCACATCCAAGAAAGCTTTGAGGGACCCTTTCAGGAACTGGCTATTTGGGCAGTTTTTAGCCTCTTCAGAAACTCTCTCTCTCTCTCTTTCTGTCAATATCTATAGACCTTGAATGTGAGGTTTATAATAAAGTTTACAAGTTTAAGGCCAGAAAACACTCAAGGCCTGAGACTCACGCAAAGGAAACTGGGATCATCTTAACAGATCCACACAAGAGGGCTCAGATGACCCCTAATCCCTTCCTTCATGAACAAGATCACATAGATGAGAGAATCTAGTATAAAATTAAAACGTATATAATACCTAAAGTTTATTATTAATTATTATTATTAATATTTTTAAGGGAGGAGGAAGAATAGTTGATTGGGATTTGGTCATGAGAAATGACCTTTGTTTTTTTAAAAGTCTACTTATTTTTTTAGTAATCTCTACACCCAACATGGGGCTCGAACTCACAACCCCAAGGTTAAGAGTGTCATTCTCTTCTAAGTGAGCCAGTCACCCTGAAAATTGATCTCTTTGTATGTTATCCTTCATACCTGGATAAAACTTCAGTATTAATTTGATGCATCTTTACATGTGCTGAAATCTCCATTTTAAACATAGTCTTTGGGTTTCACAAAAGGGAATGTTTTCATAAAAGAAGTCATACCTACCCAGAAATGTGCAAGTACATTAACTTCAAAAGTCTTTTCAATCTGAGGGTCTTGTGTTGCAAACAAATCCGATGTGTAGACTACACCGGCATTATTTACTAAAATACTAACATCTCCAACTTCTGCCTTCACCTTTAAAAATAAGACAAATACCTGCATCATTAAGAGTTATGAAGGAAGTTTGCATGCAAGAATGATTAAAGAGCTATGTGTTCCTCTATTAGATATGGGAAAAAAGTAGTTTTGTAATCTATGTGCCAACATGAAAAAAAGAACCTTTTAATCTTAGCTACTTAATTTCAAAACAGCACTACCTGTGAGTCTGGTAGGTAGAAGTTTTCTTTTGCAATTTAGCCTCTTGACTTTGCTCTATTGATTATACCCTGAGAGGTGTTTGGCTAATAAAAACATAACAAAAAAAAAACAAAAAAACAAAAAAACAAAAAAACAAAAAACCATAACCAGGGGCAAACAAAAACAAAAAACAAAACAAAACAAATGAAAACACCCTAGCATTTATTTTTTTAAATATTACTTCAAAAGGTAAGCAAAAAAAATTTTTTTTAATTAATCGGCAAATGCAGGGACTATATGGGGAACTATGTAAAACTGATTATACCATTAAGCTGGTATGTAAAACTGATTATACCATTAAGCTGGTCAGATCTTCTATTTATTTTTGTAGTCACTCCTTTCTGTTGCTCACCAAACTCTCTTCCTTAGGTGGCAGTTGGCCTAAGGGCTGGCAACACCAGCATATCTTATCTGATATTTTTATGGTTCTTTGAATAACTAAGCTTCTTGGTAGATGGATCCTAGAGTTACAATGAATTCTGTTATACATTGTATTCCAAATAAAAGCTAACTTCTGTTAAGAGTTATCATATTTAGATAGTGCTGCAGTGTGCTGGGGGACTGAGGGGGAGGTGGCAAATAGCCTGTTAAAGGCTTTCATTGTGCTATGCATTTTGTACGATTCCATTATTTATCTCATTTAATTCTCACAATAATTCCATGAGCCGACAACTTTTGGTATGCTCATTTTAGAGATGAGGAACATGAAAAACAGAATGGCTATTTCTTGCCCCAGATCACATGGCTATTAAAGGTCACATGGAGCTGAGACTCTTCCAGATCTTCTCACCCCAGAGCCCAAGACAAGCCTCAAAACCTCAAACAGAAGGAAGCCAGCGGGTGGAATACCCATCAGTGACCCCTTAGGGCATTGGTGTGCCAATTGCTGGAAGCTTGTTCCAGCCAGAAATGAATTTCATCAGGTTGTATTTAAATTATTAAAGAGTCAAGCCAAGATATTTGGTTCTTCATCAACACTATTTGTACCTATATCCATTCCTCTAGCACCATATTAAAACTGTCATTTGGAATAATGCCCCTAAGATATAGAGAAAAACTGGACAGTGTGTGTGGTTGAAGTGATGAAGCTGCTGTAATGCCTCTGAAGTAGGATGACTTAAAGTATAATTTTCCCAGACACACTTGTCCCTTCCTCCATCCTTGAGCTCCCTATATCATCTCCTCTTATCTCTACACAGTATGAATGTCTGCTTTGCACATTTCTCAGTAATGAAAGCAAGCTGTGAGTTTAAATGGTTAGGTGACATAAAAATGTCCTGCTACTAAAATAATCACATTACAGTAACTTCAAAATATCTGATAATCACCTGTCATCACACACGTTCTGTTTAAGCACATAGTTTATCCTGGAGCAATTTCAGTAAAAATACTTGGGTTAAAACACACAGAATAGGTTCAAATATTGAAATTACCTTTTCTAGAACAGCTATTCCCAGATGAGTCTAGAGATGATCATTGTGTACTGATCTAAAAACTTTACATCATTAATAGATTTAATCCCTCTTAAAACCCTGAGGTAGGTACTTGCTGTACCTTTTATGATTGGGGAAATTTATGCACAGAGACGTTAGCTAACTTGCAGTGATAGAGGCAGTAGTAACTGAAAGAATGTACATCTCTCACAGTTAATTTAAGTAAAATAGTTACTATTAAATGCAGATGTTTCTCGTCTACTGGCCTTGCTCCTACTGTACCCCCTTGTAGGAAAGCTATTTCCCACCACTAGTCTGGATAATTTCTACTTAGTCTTTTTTTTTTTTTTTTTAAGAGAGAAAAGGAGAGAGCAGGGTGTGTGTGGGGGGCGTGGCATGGCAGGGTGAGGGGGCTAGGGGAGGGGCAGAGGGAGAGAGGGAGGGAGGGAATCCCAAGCAGGCTCCACACCCAGTGCAGAGCCCATGCAGGGCTCGATCTCATGACCCTGAAATCATGACTCGAGCCAAAATCAAGTCAGTGTCTAACCAACAGAGCCACTCAGGCATCCCGGTTTCGACTTATTTGTTTGACTTATCTCAGGCCTCACCAGTAATAGAGGCATCAGTTTGAGATAAAAGATTACAATTCAGGGGCACCTGGGTGGCTCAGTTGTTGATCCTTTGGTTCAGGGCATGATCCCGGGGTCCTGGGATCAAGTCCTGCATCAGGCTCCCTGCAGGGAGCCTGCTTCTCCCTCTGCCTATGTCTCTGCCTCTCTCTCTGTGTGTCTCTCATGAATAAATAAATAAAATCTTAAAAAAAAGATTAAAATTCAAAAATAGAAGTTAAAAATGTCCTCAAATCTAAAATTCCCTTAAACCAAGGAGGTTCTCAAGGTTGGTGGAATCAGAATCTTTATACTATACTGATTATACTGATTCAGATTATCCAAAAGTGAGGTCTAGGAATGTGTATTTCATGGAATTTTCCCAGGTAATTCTACTGACTTTCTTACTATTGTAGTATGTAGTTAACAAGCACATGTATGAATGCTTTGGGAGTGAAACTTCATTATATATACATAGCACATCTTAGTTGTATATAGAAGAGACAAATACTGTTTTACAGAAATAAATATATCTATGATCAAAACCTGATAAACAGTTAAATTTATCCTAATTCCCTAATCCAGTTCTTTGATGAGGCCTTTGAAGACCCTGTCAGTGATTTGCAGTATCATGCAAGAATTTACTTGTAGCAGAAGCACATGGGTGAGGCGTGGGTATGTGGGGTAGTAAATATACTGATTCTTGGGCCTAGTCCTCGATCCACTGAAAGCAAACCTCTGGGGTGTCTTTTTTTTAAATATATAATTTATTTATTTGACAAAGAGAGAGCACAGAGGGAGAGGAAGAAAACACAGAAGGAGAGGGAGAAGCAAGCTCTCTGCTGAGCAGGGATCCCGGTTTCAGAACTCAATCCCAGGACCCTGGGGTCATGATCTGAGCCAAAGGCAGATGCCTGACCTACTGAGCCACCCAGGTATCTCTGGGGTGTTTGTTTTTAACAAGCTCTGTGGACGATTCTACAACACACTGAAGTATGGGAAACTCAGTTATACATTCTAGTTCTGGATCTGCCAAGGCTGCAAAACCTTGGGCAAAACTTCTGCTATTTTGTTTGTATCATGATGCTGAGATCTCTAGAAGCCCTCTCAGCTCTGACATGATGCAATCCTTTTTTTTTTTTAATTGGAGTTCAATTTGCCAAAATATAGAATAACCCCCAGTGCTCATCCCATCAAGTGCCCACCTCAGTGCCCGTCACCCAGTCACCCCCACCCCCCGCCCACCTCCCTTTCCACCACCCCTTGTTCATTTCCCAGAGTTAGAAGTCTCTCATGTTTTGTCTCTCTTTCTGATATTTCCCACTCATTTTTTCTCCTTTCCCCTTTATTCCCTTACACTATTTTTTATATTCCCCAAATGAATGAGACCATATGATGTTTGTCCTTCTCCAATTGACTTATTTCACTCAGCATAATACCCTCCAGTTCCATCCACGTTGAAGCAAATGGTGGGTATTTGTCATTTCTAATGGCTGAGTAATATTCCATTGTATACATAGACCGCATCTTCTTTAACATGATGCAAACCTAAGCAAACACAAAATTTCACCTTCTTTGCAGAGCTATAAATATCTTCTCGGTTACTGCAGTCTACTACAAAGGCATGAACCTTCGCACCCAGTCTCCTGCATTCAGCAGCTGTGTCCTCAATCCCATGCTAGGAAAGGCAACAAAAAGGATAGAGAGGACAAAATAAATGACATGAACATATTACATCAACAGCTGAAAATAATTGAGGATAGATCGTTTGACCAAACATTAGGCAAAAATTTACCTGGACACATTTTTGGCAGGAATATAGGTACACTTTGCTCTTAGTACTTTGAATAGCTTCTTTGATTTGGAACTAAACTTTTTTAAAGAACATAAAAATCTTAAAACACTAGTTTTGTATTCATGAATTTTACATACTTTGTGAATGTGTGTGTGTATTTCATAACAAGATTTTAAAAATATTATTAAATTTTTTCTTTCTGTGTCACTAAAATATATTCACATAATTTTCAAGCTGCAAAATAAATAAATAAGGAGTTCATTCATTCACTCATTCCTTTAACATTTTAACGTGTAGGTCATAGTCACGGTGCTTAGAGGAAACTTGTAGACACAAATATGAATGAGACAGAGTACTGACTTCAGCAAACTCACAGTCTAGTAGAAAGAAACATAAAATAAATATAAAATTTAGGTAGAACATGTGGAATTGTTATTTTGTTGGAATAAAGGATTGAAAATTGGCAGTTTCATAAGATTCAAACTAATATGTTATGGTAAGTACTAGAACAATATACAGAGAGTTACTGGAATACAGAGGAGGGGCATTCAATACAATTCTAGAAGAAAAGGTACCAGAGTTGGGTCTTAAGGGTAAGTAGAACAGCCAGGTAAAAAGCGGGGAAAGGGCATGCAGACAGACTGTAAACAAAGAGATGGATAGGAGAAAGGTCCAGTGGGAAAATATTAACAGATTGGTGTTGTTGAGTCATAGGATTCAATGCCCAAATCAAAGGGCATTGCATGTCATACCAAGTTTTATCCAAAAAGTTAGGGGGTGGGTACTGATTAAATCACAGAGTCATATTTGGGTATCATACTGATTACTCTTGCTAAAGTATAGAGGACAGACTTTAGGGGTCAATAATATAGGAAGAGAGAAAAATTAGTAGGCAGTTTACAATGATTCAGCCATCAGATGACACAAGCTTGAACTGTGGCCTTACTAGAAAGAATGTAGAGAAGAGAATCAGCCATAAAACATATCTTTAGGAGGTAAAGTCAGAAGGATTTGGTGATTGGATGAAGAAGGTAGGAAGAACCAAAGCTGAAGCCCTTGCTAAAAAGGGCTAAAAACTAAAAAGTTTAAGTAATTGGCAGCATGGTGTTGCAACAAGTCAGATGGAGGTCATAGATGTGAGATGTGAGAAAAGGAATGACGAGCCCCATCTGGAGTGTTGATTTTGTCACCTTAAATTTGTGATCAGACCATAGGGTTCTGTTTTTGTTTTTCTTTTTTTGTTTCCATTTTTGTATGTTTATTGGTTTGCCTTTGCCAATTTTATATCTTTTTCATTGTAGAAAATGTCTGAAACCATACCTTGGATTGAGGGTTAGTCTGTGAACTCTGCAAACCAAGAAATTATCGTCAGCTAATGCACAAGTAGATGAACTTAATACATTTATCCAAGAGAGAATAGCAGGGCAGAACACTAGTGTCCAAATTTGCTGGTAAACTGTAATTACTCTTGCAGAAAACCCAAAATCTGGACAGCTACAGAAAGAATTTGCAGTTTGCTCAGTAAACTTACTGTGACAGGAAAAGGAAATAGGGTGTTTTTGCTTTTGCTGAACTTTCTCACACAAACTGTTTGTCCTCTGATGAGGAGCCCTTATTCCCCAAGGGACATTGGAACATCTCAAGTAAACCTTATGTTGCCCTCCTGTACCTCCAGGCAGCTTTTGGTCCCTTCCTTTAAAAGTGTATTTCATTAATGTAGCATATACACACAATGGAGTATTATTCAGCCTTCAAAAGTAATAAAATTCTGACACATTCTACAGCATGGGTGAACCTTGATGATGTTAAGCTTAATGAAACAGAACAGATACAAAAAGACAAACATGGCATTATTATAGTTCTAGAAGCTACCTAATATAGTCAGATACAAGGAGAGGGAAGGTGGAATGGTGGTTGCCAGGGGCTGGGGGAGGCGGGCTGAGGAGTGATTGTTTAATGGGTGCAAAGTTTCTTTTTGGGATGATGAAATAGTTCTGGGGATGGATAGTAGAGGTCATTTTGTAATAATGGGAATGCACTCAACACAACTAACCTGAATGCTTAAAAATGGTTGAAATAGAAATTTTTATGTAATATATATTTTATCACAATAAAGTTTAAAAAGTATATGGTACTGATTCTTTGGGTATTTCTAAAATTCAGTCCTTATTTGGAACAAATTCTACAACAAAACTCTATCTGCCTTTAATCCATTTGTGGAGATTTGCTTAGTACTGGTTGGGTTTCTGCATCAACAGACACAGTGCGTATTGGTAAACACGTCCTACCTTTACATCTGCAATGGCGCTTTTGCCTATCTCCCTGGTCTTCCTCGCTTAGGGCCAAGGGCTGCACTCCACACCTCCTGAACTATGCAACAAATTTAAGTTCTAAATTCTGCCAGGAAAAATTTTAGACAGTCTCCATATTCATTTGGTAAGAAATAAAAAGTAGGCAGACTTAAAATTTTTCTCAGCGCAGTGGGACTGCTTGTCATTCTTTAACATTTTCCTTGTTAACCTTTTTCCTAATGTGCTGGATTCAGTTCTCAATTTTTAATCCTGGGCTCTCCTTTAAGTCTTTACTCATCATTCAGGCAGCCTGGGTGGCTCAGCGGTTTAGCTCCGCCTTCAGCCCAGGGCCTGATCCCGGAGACCCGGATTGAGTCCCATGTCGGGCTCCCTGCATGGAGCCTGCTTCTCTTTCTGCGTGTGTCTCTGCCTCTATCTCTCTCTGTGTGTGTCTCTCATGAATAAATAAGTAAAATCTTTTTAAAAAAGTTTTTACTCATCATTCTTTGCCCTCTATCCCACAACTGAAACTTTTTGCCCATTACCTAGACTACTAGACATCTACATGTTTTTGATTCCTTCCATTGCTTTTTTCCATTCATTAATTCACTTTTCCATGTGACAGTCTTTGGGTATATAGTAGGTGCTCACCACTTGCTATACATTTATCTTCAAAAACTTATGTAAACAGGCATGGGGGTGAGGATGGTCAAGAAATGTGAGATTATCTACATAAGACAATAAAAAAATTATGGCATCCATCTTAGTAGAATAACAAAGCTGAAGCCACCACTAATTCCTCCCTAAATTCATGCTCCTTTTCTGTAGACTTCATAATGTGTAGGAAGATGTCTGTTCTCAACATCCTGAGAAGGATATCTTTGGGCATTGCTATCCTGGCTGCTTGACTTAACCTGAGAAATTGTCTCTGGGGACAATTTGTCTTTGCACTGGAGGGAAAGAATTTTATCTGGCCCCTCTTTGCCCTTCCAGTTTGATCTGAAGACAATCTAAAAAACTCTTCTCTTTTTGACTCATTCTCAGTATAGCCACCAGCCCAAAAGTTTTATATCTCTAGGTTCTGCTGCCTGGACTGCTTGAAATTTCCACCCTACTCTCCCTCTCCAGTCAAGTTCAGTGACTCTCAGACTATCATAATTTTAAAACCTATAAAATTTCAAGAAAAGTGGACTGCAGTGTAGACACTGAACTAGAACTGCCAATCTTTTATTTGGCCAAATTAAAACCAACATAGAAACTATCAGTTACTATCATTGTAATTTCATTAAATATATATGTATATTATATCCACAAAAAAGTGCAAAGGGTATAATCTCAAAATAATAGATGGCTTATTTAAATAGAATGAATTTAACATAATACATACTCACTACATTATCCTTAATTTTCTGATCACTTCTGCTATAACTTCCCTGGCCTGCAAAACCAGCATCATCACTTGCCTGGGACTACTGCTAGACTCTTACCTGCTCTCCACTGGCTCCTCTGGGAAAAGCCAAAGCACAAACAGTAGCTTGTGGGGAACTGTATGATCTGGAGCTGCTGCTTCTTAAGTTTCTAGACCAGTGCTGTCTCATAAAATATAATGCGAGCCAGGTACTGAATTTTAAATTTTTTTCTAGTAGCCACACTTGAAAAAACAAAATTTTTTTAAAAGATTTTATTTATTCATGAGAGACAGAGAGAGAGAGAGAGAGAGAGAGAGCAGTAGAGACACAGGCAGAGGGAGAAGCAGGCTCCATTGCAGGGAACCTGAGGTACTCGATCCCTGGTCTCCAGGATCACACCTGGGCTGAAGGCGGCACTAAACCACTGAGCCACCTGGACTGCCCGAAAATTTTATTTTATTTTATTTTTTTTTAAATTTTTATTTATTTATGATAGTCACAGAGAGAGAGAGAGAGGCAGAGGCACAGGCAGAGGGAGAAGCAGGCTCCATGCACCAGGAGCCTGATGTGGGATTCGATCCCGGGTCTCCAGGATCGGGCCCTGGGCCAAAGGCAGGCGCCAAACCGCTGTGCCACCCAGGGATCCCTGCCCGAAAATTTTAAATTTAATTTAGTAATATATTATATTCAACTTAACATATACAAAATATTATTTTGGAGTATTTGTTATTATTATGAAATATTATAGTTCAACATTTAATGTATGTAAAAGTTGTAAGATAATTCAACATTCCTTTTTTCATACCATCTTTGAAATCCTGTGTGTAATTACACAACAGCACATCTCAATTCAGAGGAGCTATATTTCAAATGCTCAATGGCCATAGTAGCTAGTAGCTAGTACCTACCATTGTGTTTGAAAGGATAGATCTAGATTTTTACTTTTCTCCCTTCCCTCACTCTGTGCATTTACTGATCCCTCTCTGCAGAGATATGAGGGGCTCAAGGCACCATCTGCCTTTTCTGATCTTGACTCAACTATCTTCAACTCATGAGGCGTTCTGTATAAGACCAACATGTTCATCCCTCTTCCCACCACCACCATAGAGATTCCCTATCCCCTTTCATACTTTACTTTTTAAAATACTTACCACCTTCCAGCATAAATTACATAATTTATGATGCAGCATGTTTTATTTTATTGTTCCTTGTTCATGAAGTTTGTGTTTTTTTTACTGCTGTGTCCTCTGCATTAGAAGAGTGCCTGGCAGATAGTCGGTACTCAATAAACATTTATTGAATAAAAGCACTCCACTCTGAAGTGGAGAAAATTTTGTACAAATGAGCACAGGGCCGTGGGAATCATTAACACAGATGTGTCACCTAATTCTTAGCTCCAAATCCTCCACTGTTAGCTTAAATTTCACTTTGTGAATGGATAATAACTAATGTGTGTTTACCATGTGCCAGGCACTGCTAAATGCTTTGTGTGTGCTTTTTGGTATAATCTTCCCAGTCCTTTAAGGTAAGATAAGTAATTATTTTCTCTATTTTGCAGGAAAGGAACCAAAAGCTCTAGGAAGTCAGAAGGTAGCTCATGAAGAGGTGGAGAGTTCCGCTGAGTTTGAGTGTACCACCATGCCAGGCATTTGCCATCAGTGACCACATCAGATTAGACTGGGCCTAGTTTGTATCTTTCATTGCATGTACAATTATTTAAAGTCTATTTTCCCTACAAGATTAGGGGCATGGGACCTTATGTCCTATTTGCTGCCGTGTTCTTACTATCCATGCAACAGACACTCAGTAAGTATTCACTGATTGCTATCTTAACCATCTGCTCACTGGGCGAGCTCTTACCTAACTTCACATTCCCTGAATTCTTGTTTACAGCTACAGTGCTGGATGTTGACTACTGTGTATGGGATGGTTCTTCAGGCCCTCAGGTGCCCTGCCTAAACCTCTCTGTCCATCTACCGCTGGCCCTATAGAAGGTTACAGTCTAAATCCACCTCTCTTCCTTAAGCTTGTACCTATTCTTGTAAACCATTATGTAAATTGAAGAGATTTTCCCCTTTCTTTTCTTTTTATTCTAAATTTTTTTGCCTAGTTTTATGTTTTTAAGTAAACTCGATGCCCAACATAGGGCTTGAACTCAACGACCCCAAGATCAGGAGTTGCATGCCCTACTGACTGAGCTAGCCAGGTGCCCGAAAGAGTTTTTTTCTTTTATACTGTTTTTAACTAAAAGATGATTTTAAAAATTATTTTTGGCAATTGCTATGATACAGTAATGTTGCTTGCTGCTGGGTACCTTTTAAAGACACTTATCTCAGTAACAGCAAGTCGGATTTTTCTTTCTTAAGAGGTGCAAGCCTCTTAATAGACTAACTTAAAACCATTACTCTTTCCATTTGTTTAAGATGGAGGGATCAGTGAAGATAGAGGGATCAGTGAAATCAGGCTCTGGAGGAGATGACAAATTATTTTCTGGGCAAAAGTAAGGATACCTTTACAATGCAAAATTAGTGATGGGTAGTACCTGGGAATCTTATATCCTCTAGGTCCATTTATCCTGTAATCATAAATATTAATGGATCTATAAAATGCCAAGGGTAATTTCTTCTCCCTAGTTTATAGAGATGCTGTATGCAGTTGTTGCCCACAGAATACACCCATGACTACAATTAAAGGTTCCAGAAAGGAAAACATAGGAAGCACTATTACCTTATTTATATCCCACAGAACCAGTTTGCTTTTAAGTTTGGCAAATTCATAGGCAGTTAGTCTCCCAATTCCATGTCCAGCTCCAGTAATCAGGACGATTTCTCCCGTCACTGATTTTCTCTTCTTAGGAATAAAAAGCTTCAGGAGCGACTCTAAGGTGAAGATGATCAGTAAGGGCAGAAGCTGGAGGCACTGCAGAAAGAATTTCATCCTTCTCGTTGCCATGAGCTTTTGGCGTGTGTCCTCTCACCAGTCACTCTAAACTGCTTCTAGAGGATTGTTCCGTCAAACACCAGATGGAATAAAAAGCAAGAGCAAGCAAGGGCTTCTTTATCAAAGAGAAACAAACAACTCTGAAACCGTTCCTTCCGCTGGGCTGGGCTTGGTTAGGTCTTTCACAATTGGTTCGGGCTGCAGTGCGGAGCGGCTGCTCGCCGACTCAGAAATCTGGGAGGGACAAAATCCAGGGGAGGGCAAGGCTTCCCGGGCCGCTCATCGGTGACCCACTACCTCCGGGTCCTGCGAGCAGACCTTCCTGGCTTAGCAGCCGCTTGTTTTCCTAAATGTTGGTCATTCCTCTGCAAGTTACAAAGATAGCTGACATTGTCCGCAATCCAGATGCTCACCACTTTGGAACTTGATGCTCACCACTAGTGAAGGGATGGAAACGCAGTTTCATGTCTTAAAAGGAACATCAGGTGAACGTCAATTGTTCTGCAAGCCCCCTCCCCCCAACTCCATCCTGAAATGTTGCTCTCACATTTTAGTGTGAACCAAACTCGATTCCTGGATGGCAGAGAAAATCAAGGCCCAGGATAAATCGTATTAAATCGTAAGGGATTGTTTCCACAAAGAAGAGCAGTATATTTGGATAACACTTTTCACTCAACCTGTTGGAATTTGGGGAAAAAAATATTACACTTAAGTAACTATATTCTTATCCAGGTTAATCACTGCTTCCAGAATGAATAATAAAATAGAAAGAAGATCACCTTGCATAAAGATTACCTCTGCAATTTTTGGTTTAGTAGACTCTTTATATAAGTATTCAATATACAAATAGTGAATTAAAAAAATCCTAGATTGGTTACTGAAAAAAAAAAAGACCCAATTCTGGGTTTGTGTGCAGGAAGAGCTTAATAATTGTGTGTTACATGTATTTTTCGATTTAGTTCTTGATAGTAATTGAATTGGGGCTTTTTGTGAGACACTATGGTATTTGGAAAGAGACTTCTGTCATGTGGGTGACTGATGGTCACTCTTTATATTTAAGAGGCAGTTATGAGGAGTGCCAGGGTGGCTCAGTCGGTTAAGCATCTGCCTTCAGCATGGGTCATGATCCCAGGGTCCGGGGATTCAGTCCAGCTGAGGTCTCCCTGGTCAGCAGAGAACCTCCTTCTCCCTCCGCCATTCCCCTCACTTGTGCTCTCTGGTTCTATCTCTCCGTCAAATAAATAAATTTAAAATCTTAAAAAAAAAGGCAGGAAGATAACAAAAAACTGAAGTTCACAAATATTCATACTCGTGTCTCTCTACCATCTGCCACTTTTTCTTATGGCTCTCAAATCTAAGTTTACAAATACTTACTTGCACAGAAAGTTTCTAGTTTCCAGAGTTTTTTTCCCCCATATATATTATCCCAATAGATTTTTAAAAAGCCTCTTAGGAAGTAGAGAAGAAAATTATTTGTCTCCCTATTTCATAAATGAATAGATCAGTTAGATTAACTTTTTAAAGCTCCTGCAGCAAGTAAAAGCATAACTGGGGCTAGATGCAGGTTCCGTGTTTCTCAAACATTTTTGCCCAATACTTATAAAATTTGATATTTTAGATGTATATATGTGTTTGCTTTCATATATGTTGACTTTCATATGTTTAGGCTCTGACTCTAATATTTTCTATTAAGAAAATTGTATTTGGGGCACCCTGATGGCTGGGTTGGTGAGCATGTCACTTTTGATCTTGGGGCTGTGAATTCAAACCCCACATTGGGTATAGTGATTACTTAAAAAAATGCAATCTTAAAAAAAAAAGAAAAAGAATTGTATTTAAAGAGAATCAGGTATTTCTGACCCACTAAATTGACTAGAGTTTCCCTGGTCTAGGGAAAGAGCCCAGTGTTTGAAAATAGGCACACCTGATTCCCACGTGTGGATGTGACTTCATCTTCCTGAGGATGTTTCCTAATTTGTAAAATTGGGATGTTATTAATACTCACCCTGTAGAATTCTTGTGAAGCTCTAATGAATTAACATAAAACAGAGTGTTCTATCAACTATTCAACTCTATGTAAGTTATAATTAACACTAATATAACTATAATGTGGGTGGTTTGACAAGTGATAATTAGCTACTAATCTGACACAACAGCACAGTGTGCAACTTTATATATTTGTGGTTTTTAAAAACACTTTTCTTTGGGAAAGTTTAAAATGTTTTCCGTGTAGAGCATCTTAGTTTCATGGTGCCCTCCAGGCTGTTGAGTGGCATTATAAAAAGGGGGAAAGGGGGTAAGGATAAGGAACCCTTCATAGATGATTTGGTCACTTATGATGACTAGGCATTATGCTAAGTGCTTCACATATAGACAAAGTTCATTTTATCCTCTCAACAGTCTTAAGAAGTAGGTTCCATGAGATGTCTATTACATGAATAAAGAAATAAAGGATTAAGAGAAATAAGCAAATCACCTAAGGTTAGTATAAATGATAGAACTGAATTTAGATCTAGGCCATTATCACTATGCTATGTTGCCTTTTTTCTTAGGGCAAAGAAGAAAAGCTAGGCCAGCCCTAAATTACTTTGAAAATTCCAAAGGATAAAAACTATTACTTATAATACCTCCTTTTAGGGATCCCTGGGTGGCGCAGCGGTTTGGCGCCTGCCTTTGGCCTAGGGAGCTATCCTGGAGACCCAGGATCGAATCCCGCATCGGGCTCCTGGTGCATGGAGCCTGCTTCTCCCTCTGCCTGTGTCTCTGCCTCTCTCTCTCTCTCTCTGTGTGTGTGACTATCATAAATAAATAAAAATTAAAAAAATACCTCCTTTTAATAACTCCTACAGCATTCATAACACCTCTTCCTCATATCATTAGGTAACTTAATCCCTATTTAACAGCAATAGAGTCAGCTATTAAAACAAGGATTTTATTTATTGTTGTTGTTGTTGTTGTTGCTTTTTTAGAACATGTGTGGGTGGGGTGGGGGAGAGATCTCAAGTGTGGAGCCTGATGTGGTACTCAATCTCACAACCCTGAGATCATGAATTGAACTGAAATTAAAAGTCAGATGCTCAACTGACTGAGCTACCTAGACACCTCTAAAACAAAGATGTTAATTCCTGCTAACTTTTTATCAGCTATGTGATATCTGGTTAATTACTTACCTTCTCCTGAGATCTCAGTTATTTCATCTGTAACATGGATATAATAGAGCTTGGTTGAGTAAATGAGATATTTAAAAAGCACAGAGCTGATATCTTACATACATATATACTTAATTAATGATAGCTATTACTGTATTTTAACCAGTCATCAGTATGAGGTTTATGTTTGCAAGGCTGGCTCTGTAGAGTCCTACTGGATTCAGAAGGAAAGACCACAATACTTAGCAATTACGTAAACCAATGAAGAACAGTCACTTTTCTTTTCCCTGTTACTTTAAAGAACACAGAGGAAGAACATTCAGAAATGATTGCCAGACTGTGCTAAAGGTGGTACTGCCATTAATTTTTCAGTCATTCTGGGATAGAAGCCTCTATACTTGGCTCTGAAACCTGAATTTTAGAGCTTAGAGGGAGTGAAATGTTAACTTGTCCAATCACATTTTTTTAAAGTAATGAATCTATGAATTCAAAGTAAAGAATACATCTGGTTTAAAAGTGGTTCAGCAGGGATGCCTGGGTGGCTCAGCAGTTTGGCGCCTGCCTTCCGCCCAGGGCGTGATCCCAGAGTCCCAGGATGAGTCCCACGTTGGGCTTACTGCATGGAGTCTGCCTCTCCCTCTGCCTGTGTCTCTGCCTCTCTCTCTCTCTGTCTCTCATGATTAAAAAAAAAAAATCTCTAAAAGTGGTTCAGCAAGGTGGATAAAAACAAAACAATAACAACAACAAAAACAAGAGTCCTCAGTCCCACCCTTGTCTAACTCTTCAGATTAACCATTTTAATCCTTTTAATTGTCTCTTGTACTGTTGACTTCTATATCTCTAATAAAGGCTTACAGTGTCATTTACTGGTTACTCAATAGGAGACATTGGTAATTGATTTTCTTCTATGACAGCTGAGGATGTAGCTCACTTATTCTACTCCTAACACCCTTCTCCCTATATATTCCCAATGTGATTATGTCACTATCCCTACTACCTTTTCTGGTTATATTTAAAACATTTACATTTCTTTTATGTCTTCTTCTTGCCACTGTATGATAAAACTTTTAGCTTTCCATTTTGTCAGAGGAGGGTATTGTTTTCTTCAGCTGTCCATTTCTATCACCCAACTTGTAATATCTGGTTTACTTTCATATTTTCAGGACTGATCCTATTTACTTTGTATTTTGTAACTGTAACATTTTCTTTGCTTGGTCTATGTTGTTTCTGAAAGCTAAAACTCAACATAGAGCACTTACATTCTTGTGACTAACTAGTGGCCTTCCTCAGCAGGAGGCTGCTTATTCCACTAACTGGGACAGATTGGACCAGAAGAAATCACTGCCAACTCAAAACTATTCATCCTTGGCCTTTGTGAAGACTGAAGCAGCAAAATATGAAAGCAAAAATTCTGAAATGAGGTTGGAATTCCAGCTCTGTCATTCTCTAGTTGTGTGATTTTCAGTAAGTCATTTAAATGCTTTGTTTAAATTTCCTTCAGCATGCATTAACTTATTAAGAGACAGGACTGGTGGCTGATTAAAAGAACACAAAAGATATGAAGAAAATCCTTGCCATAAAGGAAGAGAAGGAGAAAAGTAGGCTACTTCTGACCCAGGGGGTTGATGGGAAAGGAAAGAGGATAACGGTAGAAGCAAGTAGTAGGAGTCAAGTAACTGGACTTCCCGTTCCAATCCTTATCTCTATGTTGCTGTTTATCTGGTTCCAACTTTTATAATACCTACTTCTCTACATTTCGAGGAATAAAATTTGTACAGTGTTAATGGCTTTCCATTGCACTTGGGATTAACTGCTAATTCCTTACCATAGCCTATAAGATCTTATGTGATTTGGCTCTTGGATCAAGATTTTTACATAAAATAAACCCAACTATAGTAGTTTAGTCAAATAGGGGTTTATTTTCCTTATTAGTCCAGAAGCAGGCTTTGCAGGACTGGTGCAACTAATTGAGGAAGTAAAAAAATAAAAAACAAACAAACAAACAAAAAACCCCTAAGGTTCCTTCTTGTACCCTATTGTGCCATCCATGTGTGTGGCTTTTGTCATTAGGATCTTAAGGTGGCTGCTCCTCCTCTAGGAAATGTGCCCTCCTTTCAAGCAGGAATAAAGGAGGGAGGGGAAACTGCAAAGGGTTAATAATTCCTGCTGAATCAGCCAATCTCTTTAGCTCAGGAAAATAATGGCCTTTCCAGAAAACCCACACAATAGGCTACCAAGTTCATCTCATTGGCCAGGAAGGGTCATGTGGCCCATTTCACTACAGGGAGCATGGGGGTAAGTTTTTAACTGGATAGATTTTTACATATGACATGTAAGAATGGAGAATGAATAGATGGGTATTGGGAAACAAAGAGTTGTGTCCACCATACTGGCCACCTCTCTGGCTTCACTGCAGATCACACTTTCTGGTTTAGTAGTATGCTTTAGCACATTGACCTTTCTGTTGCTTGATCATGGCCAGGCTATTTTCTACCTTAGAGATTTTGCACTTACAGTCTTCTCTGCCTGGAATGTTCCTTCCCCAGCTTTTCCAGGGGGCTGGCAGCTTCATATCCTTAGGTATCTCCCAAGAGTGATCTCCTCAGCAAAGCCTTTGCTGACACTCTCCTCCTGTAATAGTTAGTCCAGCTTCAATTATTCTTTTATGCAGAAAGTTGTTTACTTCCTTCATAGAACTTTCCCTGACAGGCAATTCCTAGTTTGCTTAGTTATTTAGAGTTGATTTACCTCCCCTAGAAAGCAAGTTTCATGAGAGCGGGACCTTGTCTATCTTGTTCACAACTTTATTCCTGGCACCTGGGGCAGTGCCTGGTAAGTAGTAAGTAATCCATATTTATTATATAATGAAATGAATAGAACAAGGGGGAAACAGTTGGAATTATTAACCATTCTTATTTTTAGTATACCTAAAATCAATTCCAGTAATCACATACATCGCTTTCCTATTTAAAAACATTTATTATTTAGCGTTTTTTGCCTGTCTCACCAACTACTGTAAGAAGCCCTGAAAGTTGGCATGTGGTTACTAAATTAAAAAATTAAATAAAAAACAAAAGCCCTCACTTCTCTCCACTTAAGTTCTAATGATATCCATTTAATTTGGTATATGGATAAATGGATGGTAATATAAATCAGTAAATATTTGAGATGACATTTCAGTCCTGCCCAAGAGTGGGCTAAGCACATGCTCACTACACTCTAGCAGACTCTAGTAGATGTCCCTGTAGGGTGGAACCCTGAAGACCCGCTGTCTAATTGTGGGACAGTCCTAGTAGTGAGGAGTTGGTTTTGTTTGCATGGTTGTGTCGTTCTGTATGGTAAGTCCACTCCAATCTCTCCTTAAGGAATATAGAGTCAGAAAACGAGAGCCTGAAGAATGTTCTAGGAGAATGCCTTTCTGTCTCCTGTTCCTGGTCAAATGTTCTGTGACTCACTGCCTTACTTCTCTTCTTCCTAGTGACTAATCTGTCAGCACACTTCAGAAGAGCTGAACCTTTGAAACAGAGCCTAACTACATTTCCAGTTTAAGCAGAGGTTAGTGGCTGTCATCCTAACAATGAGGGTAAAGTTTATCTGACCACAGGAAGCCACATCCAGATAGTTATTTTTCATTTTATTTTATTTATTTTTTAAAGATTTTATTTATTTATTCATGACACACACACACACACACACACACACACACACACAGAGGCAGAGACACAGGCAGAGGGAGAAGCAGGCTCCATGCAGGGAGCCCGACGTGGGACTTGATCCCGGGTCCCCAGGATCAGGCCCTGGGCTGAAGGTGGCGCTAAACCGCTGAGCCACCCGGGCTGCCCCATATAGTTATTTTTTAAAAGGCAAACACATTTTAGCAATAGTACTTTACTATCTGGAAGAACTGGCAACAATAAACAAACCTGGATACTAGTTGAAGTAGTAAGGACACATTTTATGCAGTAACATGCCTGCATGAATAAACTCAACTTCCCTGAAACAGAGGCTGGAAACTTTTTAAAGGCTGGAGTGTGCCCAGGGAAAGGCACTGAGGGGCATTGAGGGGGTGAGTTGGTGATTCACGGGACTAGGCCATCTGGGTTTGTTAACCGGTGCTTGTCAGAGAAGAAACAAACTTCTATCTTTAAGACAAGAGGCTGCAGTCCAAATTGAAGTAAGTCATCCATTAAAGTTAGGATCTCCCTGAATTACTGCATTTCAAACAGAGAGAGAGGCTCCTAGGTCCTTGAGGAAATAGTTCTGGCTGGCAGATTTTTCAGCACAAAGGGCAGAGAAAGGATTTATAAATGCAAGCTCTACAAAGAAACTGCTCTAAGAGAGGGGGTGCAGGTACTCTCTGCCTATCACAAGGCTTTGCCTGGAACAGTCAATTCTCCTGCATTGTTAACTTTTCCAGGCAGGTTTTTTAAGGGGAGCTGGGGTTATCCCAGGGACAAGGCCTTACGCTGCTAGAAGCCATACTAGTTTGGTCGATTCTCTTGGTGTAGAAGTTGTGATGGAGCTGTTACGGGCCAAGAGTTCTGCATTCTTCAGTCTTCAGAACAATACCTGTCAAAGTCTGATTCATCTGGCTCTTGAGAGAGTTGGAAGTTTTATGATGCCTTGTGTCTATACCAGACCATTCAAACGATGGATCATGCACTTAAAAGTCACATATTTGCCACGTCAATAGGATAATGAATATAAAAAATGAAAGCCCTATTACAGACTGCTTGGACCAGCTCAATCACCAAGTTTCGGCCCAGCGGTCTGGCTAATTTTTGCCCCTTGTTTGTCTTGGGTGTTGCTCTGCAGTCCTGCTCCAAGCTGCGCCGCCAGCTCACAGCTGGCGGAGCCCTCCGCGGGTTTGCCAAGGTCACATCCGGCAAAGCCTTGTCGAATTTCGCAACTGCAGCGCACACCTTGGTAAAAGAGTAAGAGAAAAGCCTTAAGTGGATTGCAAATCTCTCATCTACCTCCTTCTTCACAAGCACTTACTCAGATAGGACTGGGACGCCGTAGTCCATTACATGAGCTGCCTGTAACGCTTCTTGCCGACGAACAAAACGAGGTCAACGGCTTCCTCTCAATCCCTTTTCTTTCTTTCCCCATTTTTCCCCTTCCAACGGCCCTTCACCTCCACTTTTCCCTTGCGCTTTCTGGACATCATTTCCCACCACTCCACCCCAAGTACGCCTGCGCGAACGGGGAGGTCGTAAAAGCCGAGCGCCGCAAAGCCGGCGCTGTTTTTGGTTTACGGCGCGGCTGCAAACCGCTGAGGCGGGCGTTGGAAGTCGCGGGGCGCGGGGCGCGGGGCGCGGGGCCCGGGGCCCGGTTCCGCGGCGGCAGGCGCCGGGAGTGTTCGCGCCGCTCGCGGATCTGGGTGCCTTCGTCTCACTGGTGGAAGCGAGGGATTGTGTTGGGAGAGCTCCGGGTCGTGTGTGTTTCGGTGAAGGACGTAGCTAGTCCTTCCCCGGAACGGGAGAGCGGCGCGGTCCTAGCGCCGGCTGGATCCCTGGGGCTGCCCCGCGGCTGAGGCTGGGGCCGCCGCTGAGCGTGACCTCGCTCCGCGAAGCCGCGCGGGGGCCGCTGATGGCCGAACGCTTCCTGGGCAAGACTTTGGCCACAGTGTCTCTCTCTGTGGCCTTGGCCTCTGTGGCTGTGAGGCCCTCGGGCTGTGGCAGCGCTCCGGCGTGCAGGTATTTCCTCTTCTAGTGCTGCCTGCTCCCGAGTTCTCGGGTGTGGGTGGAGCCCGAGTTGAGTCCGCGGGTGCCGTAGGCTTTGCAGGCGTCCCGGGTTTTTATGGCGACGCTCACGTTTTCAAAAAGGGCCCACGGGGGGATGCCTGGGTGGCCCAGGGCGTGGTCCTGGAGACCCGGGGTCGAGCCCCACGTCGGGCTCCGTGCATGGAGCCTGCTTCTCCCTCTGCCTGTGTCTCTGCCTCTCTCTCTATCTCTATGTCTATCATAAATTTTTTTTAAGAAATTAAGAAAAAAACCCAAAAAGGCCCCACGGTGTTTTATCTGCCTTTTGAGGAGGATTGGTGGCAGCGATCTTTCTTGGTCTCTGCTACTGAAATTTGCCATCCTCCAGAAGTCACCAGTACTGCTGTCCTGCGAGAGTTTCAGTAGCACTTGTTTGGATGTGGTGGTGGCCAGTGCCGGTTTTTTTTTTTTTTTTCGTAGTTAACCCTTGAACATTAAGGTTAAAATTTACACATGCATACAATTTAATGATGTGAACAGTACGAATGGTGTGAAATGAAAAGTGTAAGTCGTCGTTCCTCCCCGCCACCTCTGTAGTAAGATCTCTCATCTACCTCTTTACTCCTGGATGAATTAGAGATTTATGGTATGTCACGCTGCCTCCGTTTGTTTGTTTTTCCCTCTTAATTCATTGTTCAGTTAACACGATGTCCTAGATAGCGCTAGGCACGGAGTAATGAGCGAGTTTTTGAGGCTGTCTCTAGGAGTGGTTTTTAAAAAATTACTCTGGTTTGACATGTCGTGTTTACTTTAGGCAAAAGGAAATTTTCTTTTGTTCCCTCCCCCCCTCCCCGCCCCGTTTTTTGCCCTGTCTTGTCCTTCCCTCCCCGCCCCCCCCCCCACCTCTTATGGTAGCTGTTGAACCTTCTAGATTGAACTTCTCTTTTTCTCTCATTTTCCATTTCATTTGTCTTTTTTTGTACAATGCTCTTACATATTTTACTTGAGTTTATCTTCCAGGTTACTAAAGCAGACTTCAGTCCGGTGCATCAGATCTTTTATTGAATTGTAAATTTTGACAAGAACTTTTTCCCCCTCTAATTGCTCTTGATAGCAGCCTTTTTAAATTTGGTGGATGTAAAAACTCTTGAATCTATAAGAATGATAATTAAAGTAAATTATCTTCTGTTTCATGACTTACCTGTTATGGGTCAGTGGTTCTATTTTCAGTCCTTTTTCCTTCTCTTCTCAAACATCTGGTGGACACCGGTTATCCATTTATATATATATATTTTTAAATTTTTACTTATTTATGATAGTCACAGAGAGAGAGAGAGGCAGAGACACAGGCAGAGGGAGAAGCAGGCTCCATGCACCGGAAGCCCGACGTGGGATTCGATCCCGGGTCTCCAGGATCGCGCCCTGGGCCAAAGGCAGGCGCCAAACCGCTGCGCCACCCAAGGATCCCTATCCATTTATATTTTGATTAATGTAGGTAAAAGACATTGTTTTCTCAAAATGGGAGGACTGATTTCAGAACACTGGCGGCATGTCTCGTACGTAGACTGGAAGGTTTCAGTTGAGTGTGTGTGAGCAGGTAGCCAGTTGGACAGGCTGGGAACTAGTGGAGCAAATTCCCTGCTGAGCATAGCTGCTTTAGCTTTATTTCCTACTATGAACTATGGTGATATTAAGCCGAAGTTGCTGCTGTATTCTCTAATACCAGAATTCAAAACAGAGGTTCTAGTTTGGCTTTATCCCAGGGGGAAACATAACTAATGCCAACATTTTGTTTGGAGAAGGAGAATGGCTGATTTCCATGGTTATTGCCCCACTGCCCACTTAGGACATTTGGGCCCACTTATTTCAAGCTTGAAACCTCTCAGACCTCCTCTTGTAGGACTGGAATCTGTCACCCACCCTTTTGTGCATATTCTCAAATATAATTTGTTGTATTTTGGTTTGTAGGTCAGTATGAGTCCATCTACTTTCTACCTGAAATTAGTTACAATCTCTTAATCACTGGTGGTGACCTGTTCTCTTTCCTGCTGTGGATTTTGTTGCCTTTTGTATCTCTTTTCAGTGGGATTTGGGGAGGGACAGAATAAACATCTATGCTTTTTAAAATGTAACTTTTCATGTCAACCAAATTACAATTAAAGTAAAATTTTTAAAAATTAAAAAATATTCCAAGTTAAAAACAAAAAAACCCCAATGTTCTTTGGAAGTCATGAATGCTATTAAAATTTTTCTGAATTTATTTTTTAAAAGATTTAATCTATTCATGAGAGACTCAGAGAGGCAGAAACACAGGCAGAGGGAGAAGCAGGCTCCATGCAAGGAACCCGACGTGGGACTCGATCCTGTTTTTTGTTTTTGTTTTTTAATTTAAATTCAACTTGCCAACATATAGTATAACATCCAGTGCTCATCACATCATGTACCTGCCCTCCTTAATGCCCATCACCCGGTTACCCTATCCCCCCCATCCACCTCCACTTCTGCTCTCCTTTGTTTGTTCGCTAGAGGCAGAAGTCTCATGGTTTGTCTTCCCTTCTAAGTTTTCCCCACTCAGTCCTCCCCTCTTCCCTTGTGGTCCCTTTCACTATTTCTTATATGCCACGTATGAGTGAAACCATATGATAGTTGTCTTTGTCTGATTGACTTTTTCACTTAGCATAATACCCTCTAGTTCCATTCATGTCAGTGTAAATGGTGAATATTCATCCTTTCTGAAGGCTGAGTAATATTCCATTGTGTGTGTGTGTGTGTGTGTGTGTGTGTGTGTGTGTATACATCGTTATCCAGTCCAGGACATCTGGGCTCCTTCCACAGTTTGGCTATTGTAGACACTGCTGCTATGAACATAGGGATGCAGGTGCCCCTTTAGATCACTACATCTGTATCTTTGGGGTAAATAACTAGTGGTGCACCAGCTTGCATTCCCACTAACAGTGTAAGAGGGTTCCCCTTTCTCCACATCCTCGCCAACCTTTGTTGTTTCCTGTCTTGTTAATTTTAGGTATTCTCACCAGTGTAAAGTAGTATCTCACTGTGTTTTGATTTGTATTTCCCTGATGACAAGTGATACGGAACATTTTCTGATGTGCTTGTTGGCCATGTGTAGGTCTTCTTTGGAAAAATATCTGTTCATGTCTTCTGCCCATTTCTTGACTGAATTGTTTGCATTTTGGGTGTTGAGTTTGATAAGTTCTTTAGAGATCTTGGATATCAGCCCTTTATCTGATATGTCATTTGCAAATATCTTCTCCCATCTTATAGGTTGACTGTTTCCTTTGCAAGAAGCTTTTTATCTTGATGAAGTCTCAGTAGCTCATTATTGCTTTTGTTTCCCCTGCCTTTGTGGATATGTCTTGCAGGAAGTTGCTGTGGCCAAGTTCAAAAAGGTTACTGCCTGTGTTCTCTAGGATTTTGATGGAATCCTGTCTCACAGATCTTTCAATCATTTAGAGTTTATCTTTGTGTATGGTGTAAGAGAATGGTCCAGTTTCCTTTTTCTGCACGTGGCTGTCCAATTTTCCCAACACATTTTATTATTTTCCTGCTTTGTCGAAGATTAGTTGACCAGAGTTGGGGTGGGGGGTCCATTTTTGGGTTCTCTGTTCTGTTCCATTGATCTATGTGTGTCTGTTTTTGTGCCAGTACCATCCTGTCTCAATCACAGCTTTGTAATGCAACTTGAAGTCAGGCTTTGTGATGCCCCCAGCTTTGGTTTTCCTTTTCAACATTCCTCTGGCTATTTTGGGGTCTTTTCTGGTTCCATATGAATCTTAGGATTATTTGTTCCAATTCTGTGAAAAAAGTCCATGGTATTTTGATAGGGATTGCATTGTATGTGTAGATTGTTCTGGGTAGGATAGACATTTTCACAATATTTATTCTTCCAATCCATGAGCATGGAGTGTTTTCCCGTCTTTTTATCTCTTCCTCAATTTCTTTCATAAGTGTTCTGTAGTTTTTAGAATATAGGACCTTTGCCTCTTTGGTTAGGTTTATTCCCAGATATCTTATGGTTTTTGGTGCAATTGTAAATGGGATTGATTACTTAATTTCTCTTTCTTCAGTCTCACTGTTAGTATATTGGGATCCCCGGGTGGCGCAGCGGTTTGGTGCCTGCCTTTGGCTCAGGGCGTGATCCTGGAGACCCGGGATCAAGTCCCACCTCGGGCTCCCCGTGCATGGGGCCTGCTTCTCCCTCTGCCTGTGTCTCTGCCTCTCTCACTCTCTCTCTCTATCATAAATAAATAAAAATTTAAAAAAAATTTAAAAAAAGAAAGAATATTGGAAAATTTTAACCTGAAAGAGAGATAAATGAATCATAAAAAACAAAACAAAACAAAACAAAACCTTGAGTTCTATATACTATTTTGCTTCAGTCCTGGAGCTTTCCAGTGCTGCTTGGTCAGTACACTTGCTATTCCCCTGTTTTTTCAGCTGGTCTTCTGTGGGAGGGGCCTGCTGTGCTGATTT